CCACCCACCCTCAACGTGCACCAAAATCATTAATCTGGGTTTCTTGTAGAGCAAAAGTCATAAAATAGAGTATTTTGACAATCATAATGATAATGATAATAATAAAAGATAAAAATGTTGAAAGATACAAGAGTATATATAGCTTAATTTTTTATATTCCCCAAAATCACCTTGTCATTCAAACAACCAGGCGGTTTTCTTATATCACAATAGGCTTTACAAAAAAAAAACCCCCCCATCAATCAATCTCATGACTATAATTACGGGAAAAACAAACATAAATAAAAAAATAAATAAATAATCAGTCATATCTATTAAAGTAAGATTAATAAATATTATAAAATTTGGAAGAATCAAGGCTTCAATTAACTTGAGGGAAATTGTTCGTGGAGACTGAAAATATAACGTGTTTTTTTTTTTTTTTTTTTTTTTTTTAAATTGTCAGACATGCAAACTTCTAAACTTTGTTTTTTTTTTTTTGTTTAAACCATCGGGCCATTTTTTCTTTTGTGGAATTTTTTTTTTTTGTGTGAGTGATGTAAAATGTAAAAAGTGTCTTAATCTGGAACAGTACAGGTACACACACACACACACAATATATTATTATTATTATAATAATAATACGCATAAACGCATTGTTTCGAGAAATGCACTAAAGTTAAATAAAAAAAATCACCTTATTTTTTTTTTATTTTTTATGTTTTTTTTTTTTTTTTTTTTGGTTTTTATTTTTATTTTTATTTATTAATTTTTATTTCTTTTTGACTGTTATTTGTACTGATAACTAACTCATATTGCTGGAAAATTCAATAAAATATTCTACTTATAAAAGACCAATAGAATTTGTCTATTTTTGAGGCTGTGAAATTATCTTCTAAAAGCTCCTAGAACCTTTCTCCATAAGTTTACATAGGTTTACCTGAATGATAATCTTTAAAATCTTTTTTTTTTGTTGTTTTTTTTCTTCTAGTTATATGACTATTTATACTTTTCGTTTTGTTTTTTTCCTTAAGTATAAAATCCGTTTCTTTAAAAATCACTGGGTTATTCAGGGTCCTCTTTGTAACGAAGGGAATCAAACGATTCTTGTTTAAATTCAATTTAATCTTTAATAAAATCCTAAAAAATGAAATTTTATAAAAAGAAGATACTTTTTTATTTACTTATTCTTATCGTTATCTTTTTTTCCCTCGTATAAATGCTTATTTAATGCCATTGATTGCTAAAAAAAGTCTCTATATATTTTTTTTTCTCTTTAAAGGGAATACTCTTATTCAAGTGAACAATTATCAACTTCCTACTGAAAAAGTTAGGTTTTTGTACAGATATAGCTGATTCCTAAAGAAAATAAAAGGCCTAAACATTTGTTAATTTAATAAGTTTATTGTTTCTCTTAAAAAAAAAAGTTCAATTAATGTAAGATAAAGGTATATGAAAGTTTTACTACGCCATTAATCGTAACGATTTTTTTTTTCAAAAAAAGTAGAAAAAAAAAAACTTAAAAAGATATTAATTAAAAAAAAATAAATAAATAAATAAATAAAGAAAGAAGAAAGGTTATTTATTTAAATGGTTCTTTATAGAAACAGAAGCTGGTGCAAGAGAAAAGACAAAAAAACAAGTTAGAATGTCGGTGACATGATTCAGAAGTAACAAACAAATTAACAATGAATAAGTCAAATGTAAATCAAGTGGTTCTTTTAAAAAAAAAAACCCCTATTGGGAGTCAATAGTAAACATTAATAAAGAAGATGGTTTATTTAAAAGGCGGTATTTGAAAAGGATATAAATTTTCTCTATAGAAGAAGTAGAGACTGGAAAAAGAATTAGAAATATAAGATAAGATGAAAGAAAGAAAGAAAGAAAGAAAGAAAGAAAGAAAGAAAGAAAGAAAGAAAGAAAGAAAGAAAGAAAGAAAGAAAGAAAGAAAAAGAAGAACAAAACGTTGAAAAAGTTTCAGTTAGAAGAAACTCGCTAGCATAGATCTGAGTACAAATAACCGTTAGGCAAGACAAAAAGGTAAGAGAAAAAAAAACAAGAATTTAAAAAAAAAAAAAAGATTAGGAATTATTACTCTTGGGACAAAACAATAATTATATATCAATAAAGTAACTAACAATACGGGAGGAATAAATCACCATTGTTGTAATTTTTTATTTTTTATTTTTTATTTTTTATTTTTTCAAATTTTTAATTGTTTTAAAATAGTTTCAAATCCGCAGAATATTCTACAGGTCCCAAATAATTATAAGTAGTTTTTAGTAATAGAATATTATAATAAAAAATTAAGTAGATTTTTTAAAACAATGAAAATAAAAATAAAAATAAATAAATCTTTTTAATACGAAATTTATTTTGTTTGTTTGTTTATCCGAGGTAGATTATGATTATGATTATGATTATATATTTATTAAGTTATGTATTTTCTTTTCTTTTTTTTGATATTGATATTGAAATTGAAAATTAAATTGATGCAAAAAAAAAAAAAAAAATTGTTTACTGAGTGCAACTTTAGTGTGTTATGTCAGTTAGTTAGTCAGTTGGTTAGTTGGTTAATTGGTGATGATGATGATGATGATAATAATAATGTGAAAATAGTATGTGGGATTATTTCTTACTTACTACATCTTACGTAACTCCTAAATGATGGATTACGAATGTCGAAGATAAATCCACGCGTTCCGATGGGAAATCTCCATCCGTCGTAAAAATAAAAAAAATATATATTTTCAAACACTCACACACACACACACACACAGACTTTTTTTTTTTTTTTTTTTTCTTCTGTGTTCGGGATAGTGTGACCGACATGGAACAAAAAAAAAAAAAAAAAAACCTCCATACACATTCTATTAATTAAAGTCTTATATAATTATTATTATTATTATTATTATATAATAACATATTGTTATATTTTTTTTATTATTATTTATTTAATACATAATGATCATGATGATGATAGTACCTGCCGACGGGGCCCTTTTGAAAAAAAAAAATTATATAAATATAAATGTATTTCAATTTCAAAGAAAAGAAAAGAAAAGAAAAGAAAAAAAATTTATCCGCTTCTTATTTAGTTAATTGAATCGGTTTTAAAAAAAAAAAAAAAAAAATTCAATTCCGAGGAAAGAAAAAAGAGAAGAAAAAAAAATGGCTAATTAAGTGATAAAGATGATGATGATGATTCATAATCATTCAATCGTGAAAAATCTTTACTTAAATTTTTTTTTTTTTTGAATATATGTATCTTAATAATTTATTATAATTAACTAGGCAATTGACTAACCAGTTAAAACCAAAAAGGGAATTTCTTTATATATATATATATTTTCAAATTTTATTCTAAACTTATTTGGTTATATAACCATTCTCATAATTATGATTAAATCATCCAAATGATGGTATTTGAAATAATAATAAACATTCTAATTTTACTATTTATTTTTTAATTTTCTTTTCTTTTCTATTATTATTATTATCATTATCATTTCAATTTTCATCGGCTGTTATTCATGAAAAATAAATTAAAAAAAAATTAAATTTTTCAATATTGGATTTTTTTTTTTTCCTCGATCTTTTTTTCACGCCCTTTTTCTTTTTCTTTTTTTTTTTTTTTTCCCAAGATCTGATTATTATTCTGCACTCGGCACGTCTGTTTTATATCAAAAATGTATATCATCAATACGAGTTGCTTTATATATATATATATATATTTTTCCCTTTAATTAGAAAAATTTGCTAAAGATGACCGATGGCAGAATGTTTTTTCTGAATGAAGAAAGCCCCCTCGTTTGTATAGTTGCTGTCAATAACTTATGGTGATTTTTCAAAAGTTTTTATAATTTATAATTTATATTTTTTTTTTTTTGAAACATTGAAAAGGAAAAATAACAACATCATTCATTCATTCATTACTAACTGTTGCTTTTAAATATATTTATATAAACAACCTCCATTGTTGTTCTTCACGTTTGTGTATTTTCATATATATTAGCTCATCAACTTCAAGTACTTGTTCCAAAAAAGATTATCCAAAAGAAGAATAAGAAACATCTTTTCTTTCTAAATTTCCTTTAAATATTTTCTTTTTTTTTTTTTTTTTTTCAGTTTACCATAAAAAAAATAACCTTGCTGTGTTGTTGTTGTTGTTGTTGTTGTTGTTGTTGTTGTTGTTGTTTGCTTCAAAAATTAAAAAAACAAATTTAAAACTCAATGGCTTAAAATCGGTGTAAAACAAAAGAAAAGAAAAATGAAATAAAAATAACAAAATATAAAATATAAAATAAAATATAAAATAAAATATAAAATAAAATATAAAATAAAATATAAAATATAAAATAAAATTCTTCATTCTTTTCTTTTCTTTTAAACCATCTAAAAAAAAAAATAAATAAGTTGCTTCTTTCTATTTTTCTTTTTAACCATCTCCATCTTCTTTTCTCCCTTAGTCCGAATTTTTTTTTTTTACATAGGAAACTTTTATCTGACGTCTTTTGTAACATTGCAATTTTCATGTGTATAGGTTGAGTTTTCCGAGTAATCATATTAAACTTTTTTTTTTTTTTATAAATTCAAAACCATTTTAGATTAAAAGCTACTTTTATTTATTTATTTTTTTTTTCCAACTTACTCTTATCTGAGTATATAAATATTATATCCTTCTAATAATTCAATTCTTATAAACTTTATAATAAATCTGCCAATTTTTTTTTTTTTTTTTTTTTTTTTTTGGATCTTTGATCTTCGTGGTTTCGCGGCTACCAGTATTGACCAGCCTTTTTTTAACCCTTTAATTTGCTCCTTCTCTTGTTCGCGTTTGTAGAAAAAAAAAAAAGGTTTAAAAAATTCTCTATTATTAAAACAAAATAAAAAGCAAGAGTGAATAATAATTAAACAAAAAATATATATATATATATATATATATATATAATAATAATAATAATAAATAAAAGCAAAAATAGTAAAATAGTAAAATAGTTAAAAAAAGAAAAATAAGTCACTCAATGATTCTGACCACTAGCATCAATAAATCGTAGCAATGCTGTAACAACTTGCTCAACAGTAACAATGCCCTCATCTACAGTGGTAGTAGAAACTGATTCTCCTGAAGAAGATGACACTACCCGCCGTCGACTTGGACGACTAGGATGCAAGTATCGTCGAATTTTAGTGGCCAACTCAACAGATAGCTCAGGTAGCAACAGTTGCTCTTCACGGTGTCGACTCAAACTAGACTCTTCTTCTTCCATCTCCTCTTCCTCCTCTATATTTTCATGGTTTCCATTATTATTATTATCAACAACCCCATCCTCAGGCTTGTCAGAATCAGTAGAAACAGAGGCATTGACACCATTTTCAGTAGAAAATATAGATGAAGACGGTCCACTGGCCCGACGATGATGGTGATGGTCATCATCATCACTATGCTCCTCAGTCTTGATTTTAAACTCGGGATCCATCACCAATGAATCTCCGCGCACCTCATGCCGTGAAATAAAAACGTCATCAGAAGCTGCATCATTGACTTCATGAGAAGTAGTAGTGGCCCCCTCAAGTATAAACTGGGATACACTGCCGCTGCTGCTACGACGAATGTTGCGTAAAGCAGCAGCTGAGGCACCTGCATGGCGAGTCAGATTCCGGTCAACAGCTCCATCAAAAGCGCGTTGTAGTAACCAAAACAACTTTTGGGACCGTTCATTGGCATTCAGGTTTTGGTCGGTCAACGCCTCAATGCCACTCTCAAGTAGTTCTGTGGCACTGAAAGGCGACCCGTGGTGGTCCACCAGAGATTCCACCAAACCATCAGAAGAAGACAATGTGGTTTCATTTGATGCTTGCTCACTTGCCGTAGTAGAGTCAGGAGAAACATCAATCAAAACTTGTTCCTCCTTAATACTCTCAGGCCCTGTGGTCTTGGTCACCGTATCAATCACGAGATTGGGATTACGAGGCAAAATACCTGTTTGCTTCCAACCACCAACAATGTTTTCGTTAGTAAAGGCCTGTGCATGAATCACACCATATGTTGTAAGAAACGCAGCCAAATCCAAAACAAGGGATGAGGAGGATGCTGCACAAGAAAAAGAAGAAGAAGAAGAGGAAGTTGCAATAGCATTTGACGATGAAGGAGAACGTAGATTGACCACTAGGTTTTGAAGCTGTGGACTGGTGGATGCTGGTGATCGACCACCATTAGCTTCAGGAGACGGTGCAGAATGGGCTGATGAAGATGATGTGGGGGTAGTAGCAGCAGCTGAAGTAGTAGAAGCCTCACTATTATCGCGGCTTTTATTATACTGAGCCATATCCGCAAGACTATTTTTAAGACTCTTGCATAATGAATCAAGCAAATGCCCACGTTCAATAGGTTGAATAGCTCGAGCACTTGGGGCTGGCACAGTCACCAGCAAAATGCGGTGTTTGAAGGCCCACAAAAAGGGGAACAAATCAATAGAGGATGCTTCCTCAGTGATGAGAAGACGCCATGAGCCATTAGCCTTTGAGTCGGTAAGGTGGTCAAAGTGAAGCTTAAGCCATTGGAAAAAATCAAGCGACTCATGTTCCTTAGCTGTTCGACTTGTAACTGCATCCAACAACTGGACCCCAGGAATTGACCCAAGTGACCGCGACCCAGTACCAGAAACTGCAGCCACTGGATTCATGCATGAACCATCTGCACAAATACACTCAAAAATAGATGCAAACGCTTTTGAGGAAGAAGATAAGAAAGAAGATGAAGATGAAGTGGGCATGCCAATCACAGATCCTCCCCGCACAACAACACACTTTTTCGAATCAATTTTAAAGTTGAGCACGCGCGAATTGTAAATGTCGCCAGGGCGAATACTCAGTGAATCAATGATGCGGTTGAGGCCATTAAACCAGTGCTGCAGGTTGCTGCGATGTGATGACACTGGGTGGCTAGAAGATGAAGGTGTTTGTTGAGGAGAGTGTGATAGATGCTGTTGCTGCTGTTGCTGCTGCTGCTGTTGTTGTTGTTGCTGCTGTTGTTGCTGCTGCTGTTGATGTTGTTGTTGTTGCTGCTGCTGTTGTTGTTGTTGTTGTTGTTGTTGCTGTTGTTGTTGCTGTTGCTGTTGCATGTGCTGCAGAGCCTGCTGCTGCTGAGGAACCTGTTGCAAAGCCTGAGGGGAAGGGTGTCCCTGAGGCGGTATGGCAGCACCATTAGGGCCCTGGAAATAATTAGGCTGGATGGGTTGAGGAAGTGGCGGAGAGAAATGCTGAGGAGGTTGTTGTTGTTGAGAAGGTTGGGATGGAGGTTGTTGGTTGTAGTAATAGTTATTATGGTACTGATTATTGTTATAGTGAACCATGGTCCGTTGTTGTTGAGCTGGTGACATTGGCACCATCTGTTGTTGTTGCGGCTGCTGTTGAGAAGTCATTTGTTGTTGCATCTGCGGAGGGTAAGAGTGGATCGGTGGTAGAGGATAAGGTTGTTGCTGCTGCTGCTGTTGTGGCTGTTGCGGCTGCTGTTGTGGCTGTTGCGGCTGTTGCGGCTGCTGCGGTGGTGGCTGCTGCTGCTGCTGCGGTTGTTGTTGTTGTTGTTGCTGCTGCTGCTGCTGCTGAGGATGTCCCTGAATAAAAGGAACCTGCCCGGTGATCGGCGGTAGCGTGGCGGGCACCGGGCGCCCCATACCCGCAAGCCCCGGCGCGTACTGCGACGGAGCCCCGCCCATCAAGTTTGGGTGCGGCAAATGTTGCTGTTGCTGTTGCTGTTGCTGTTGCTGCTGCTGTATGGCTGGGCCTTGGTGAGCAGGATGAATGACACCAGTAGGACCAGAAATTACAGCAGGAGAAGAATGTTCCATATGCTGTTGTTGTTGAAGATGAGGGTGATGATGAGAAGGATGTGGTGGTGGTGGAGAAGTAGAAGTAGTTTCAACAGAAGAAGATGAAGGAGAAATGGAAACAGCATGTACTCTATTTGAAGAAGACCCTGAAACAGAATCTGTTGAACCAACAACAACAACAGGAGAAGTTCCAACACAAGCATCGAGTCTACGTCGTTTTGTGCGCTTCTCATAGTTGAGTTCCGGGTGTCTGCGCAAGAACTTTGAGACCCAAGTATCAGAAACAGCAGGTTTTTGTCGAAGAGGAGGACTTGCAGCTGAGGCGGTTCCAGTGGCTGCAGTGGAAGAAGAAGAAGATGATGATGATGATGATGAAGGAGAAGAAGAAGAAGGAGGAGACCCTGCGGAATCGGCACCCGGAGAATTGGAAGGTCCCACTATTTGGGATTTGGGTGAGCCGCCTGGGCCGCCTGTAGAAGTAGCGGGTGAAGTCGCATTGTTTTGGCTACGTCGAATAAGTTCGTTTGCGAGCTGGCTAATTACTTTTTGTTGCGGGAAAATACCAGTTTGCTCAACAATCCCCATGATTTGATTGGAAAGCTCGGTTTCAAGCTCGACAGGGAGGGCCATGTAACGCTCATGACTCTCTACTCGGTTGCGTTTGCCACGGGCATAATCAAAAAGACATCGGTAAGAGATGTTATATTGAGAAGCAGCTTTGCGGTACGATGCACCTTGCCGCAGTTCATTATAAGCGTCCCATTTGCGTTTTTCAAACTCGTAGTTGGGGAGGGCTCTTGAAGGCTCATCTTTCTCGAAAAGTTCAATTTTCTTTTTGCGGCCCATTGAGACAGTTCTGTGAGTTTTGGGTGCCAGATCAGAGGAGGTATTTGATGATTGCTGTTGTTGTTGTTGTTGTTGTTGTTGTTGTTGTTGTTGTTGTTGTTGTTGTTGTTGTTGAGCTAGTGAATGTGAAGAAGATATTTGTTGATGTTGCATTTGATAACCACGGCCTGCAGTAGCTGATGATGGAGGAGTGGAACCAGCCATGGTAGAAGTACGAGGGTTCAATACTTGTGATGTACTAGCATAAGGATGTCTCGATGAACTATAAGACCCTGGTATAGCAGAAGCTGGGCTAACAGGGCCTGTAGGTGGTATAGAGACCGGTTGGCCTGTTTGTCTTTGGATTCCGGAAGAAGATCCAAGAGACTGTGGGGACCCTGGAACCGCGGAAGAAGGACCGACGGGACCTGGGGGAGGTGGAGCCATGCTAGAAGGCAGTTGATGGGAAGAAGAAGGGATTGGAGGAGGCAATGTGTATCGACGTTGAAGATTTGGAGGAAGGGTGTGATTGTGATAAAGTTGCAACGTGGGCGATTGCGACAAGGAAGAAGAAGAAGAAGAAGAAGAAGAAGAGTGTTGCTGCTGCTGCTGCTTCTTATGATTTGGAGAAGGCCTTGCGGAAACGGGGTTCAGCGGAAGGTCCTTTGAAAGATTGGAGCTGACAGGAGGCTGGGCACACACTTTAACGGTTTTTTTCAATGTTTTAGGGGGAAAGTGAACAGTTTCTATTTTTTTATTTTTTTTCAGAGTTGATGGTGGAAATGAAAGAATTTTTATTTTTTTTATTTTTTTTCTGCTGCTGCTACTGGTAGTTTTAAGTTTGTTGGTAGTGGAACAGACACAAAAAAAAAAATTAATTAAATAAATAAAAAGGTATATAGTGGAAAAAGATGAAGAAGATGTTTAGGTAGTTCTAATGATGGGACTTTTAGAGACAAATGTGAAATGAAAAAAAAAAAGATTTGATAATAATAAAAAAAAATTAAAATAACCAACGAAAAAGAAGAACAAGAATAAGAAGATTTATTTTGAAAAAAAAAAGTATTGAAAAGAGAAAAAGATTTAATTTTAGGACTTGAAGAATTTCTTTAAAAAAAAAAAAATTTTGACAAACACCGGGATATTTATATGCACTTTGCTGAGAAGTTACAACAGGCCGCAGGACACCGAAAAGAGATCTATAACACAAACTTATAGACTTTAGTTATTAAGGTTTTACGTTAATGAGGGAACGATGATGCAGGAAGCCTCAAAAAGAAACGACTTTAAAAAAATAAAAAAATCGAAAGACTTTTTATTTATTTATTTTTTTTTTTTTTTTTTTGAGGCAGCCGATAAAAAAAAAAAATAAAAGAAAAGAAGATGCCGATGTACGAAATTTTTTTTTTACACGTTCGTAAATTTTCATTGGAATAAAAAAAAAAAAAAAAAAAAAAAAGATACACCTGGACCCGACAGAAAACAATCAGAAAATAGAAAAAAGTCATACGTTTTTTTTTTTTTACAAGTAATAGCCATAAACTATTAATGGTAAATTTTACTTAAAACTATAGTTATAAACTACGTATTTTAATGGTGGCTTATTTTTTTTTTTTATTTTTTTTATTTTTTTTATTTTTTTTTTTTTTGTATATATTGTATATATATATATTTTTTTTTTGATTTTATTTATGATTTTATGATTTGCTGATGATGATCCGAGGATGTAATAATAAAATAAAAAAACTTACACTAAAGTAACTTTAAACTTATTTTCAATAACATAACTATTTTCTAAATAACCTTTTATGCCTAAACTTCGCTGATCGCCTTCCGACGGTTGCAATTTCCGTGTTCTCTCAACTTGACAAAATTTACCCGGCCTTGTTTCCCACCTGCCTGTTACAACACACCACCTAAATAGCACCTATAAAAAATAAACCCTTCCCTATTTACTTCCCCCCCCTGAAATGTCATCAAAAAAAAGGCATCCAATCTTGTTGTCCGTCCATATAACCCCCCTAAAACATTTAAAAATTTTTGTCCCAACATCGTCCCATTATCAGGGTTTTTATATCTAAACGTTGTTTTTTATATTTATATTTATATATATACATATATACTTGACTTTTAATATTCCTACCTCTCACTCACATACTAAATGGCTAATCCTAACGCTGACGTCTATGCTATCTTAGACCAATACCCGGAACTCTCTGTTACATTCAACACATGGGAAATCTCAGAGATCCGCCAGTCATGGGCTTCCATGCGCGACGACAAACATGAAGTCTCTAAAGAAAAGGCAAACGTAGGAACTGCATCTGCCTTTTTCTGCCAACAGTTTTATGAAAACTTACTTGGAGAGTACCCTCAGCTCTCTGTTCTTTTCCCCTCCATCAAGTCTCAGGCTTCTTCCATGGCTGGTATTCTCTCTCTCGTTATCTCGCAGCTAGACAACCTTAACTCCGTCCGCGATGTCCTCATCGCCCTTGGCAAGCGTCATTCTCGTATCATTGGTGTTGAAGTGGCCCATTACGAGCTCGTCGGTAATGCTCTTCTAAGAACCCTTTCGGACCGTCTTCAAGACTCTTTTTCTCCAGAACTTGAAAACGCTTGGATCAAGTTCTTCACCTATATTACAAACCTGATGCTTCAAGCTGGTGAAGACCCCCCAATGCCCGCACAATTTCTCTACCCTGTTCTCACTCCAACAACTTCTAACGCGTCTTCTATCTCTGAACCTGCTCGACGAGCTCTCAAATCTCGTTCTTCTCAGTCTAGTATTACCCGCCCAGGTGCTCCTAATACCTCATCTTCAACCCACGGCAAGATCACACCTACTTATTCTGCTAACAACAATAACAATAACCACAACAACAACAACAATAATAATAATAGCAATTCTGGGTCTCAAAGTACTCCTTCTGCCTCAAGAAACCATTTCCACTCTCAAACTTCTGTGTCTTCTCCTTCTTCTCATGGTGCAGGAAGCACTGCTCTTGCAGGAAACAACAGCAGCTCAAACAACCACAACGCCTACGGAACTTCTGTCATCAACAACTCTACAAATGCAAGTGGATACAACCCATCCAACTCTCATTTCAAGACCCAAGGCAAGCAAAAAAAGCGCCGTGGAAAGGGCCAGGAATGCTCCATCATGTAGTGGTTTTTATGTAATTTCTTTTCTTTCTGTTTAATTTGGACTAATATAACCAATCTGGCTAGTGAAATTGTAAAAGTGTAACACAAAGTGTAACTAGTTTATATCAGGGTAACAATGCACGGCTAATCATTAGATACTGACTACTGCTCCTCTGCTTAAAATTTTTTTTTTTTTTTTTTTTTTTTCAAAATATTTTTTTGAAATTTTTATTTTCAACTCACTCGAGCGGTTTCCTGATTTAAAATATTATTATTATTATTATTATTATATATATATAAAAATATAAAAATCACAACCCTCTCAATCTCATGCTGCGCAACAGAACCTCACTGTTAGCCTCGGGCCGTCCCTCAAGATGGGTTACTCAGATTCATTCTCGTTCAATCTTTATTTCCTCGCGCCAACCAAAGCGCCAAGTTTCAGCACCAGTCGCTGCTGATCACAATGATCCCATGTCGGCACACGACCGTTTTTCTGTTCTCGGGTCCTTTGCCAACGAACTAGATGATACCATTGCCCGCAATTTACATAGAAACCCATCCTCTTCTTCTTCATCATCATCATCATTCCCTCTATCACACTCTTCTTCAACATCTTCCAAATCCTCCAATCGAGACCTAAGTGCCGCATCTGCACTTTTTCTACAATCCCTCAAACAAGGAACAACACTATCCCCATCATCTTCTGTTTCTCAGGGCCGGAGGAGGCGGCGAAGACCCACTCTCATTGACCATCAGCGTGCGAAGGAACTTGACCGTCAGATAAAACAAGTCGAGCAATACGCAAACAATCTCAAGCATCAGATCCGCATGCGCGATGAGCGCGCTCTCCAGCTTCAAAAACTCCAAGAGGAAACAGCAAAATATGAAAAATCTGAAACTAACGTCAGTCAAAAGGCTCTTTCTGAAGTTTCCTCCGATGCCGATAAGCTTATGGATTTCTTGGACCTCCCTGAAAACGAAGCCCATTCACAACTCGCTCAATCAAAATCACCCGCTCCATCTTCTCTTAAGGACGTCAAAACTTCCATGTTCGATGTTCCAACATCTGCTGTTAAACTCCCCCCAACCATCCTCAACCGCATCGGCCACACAGTTACCGCTATTGCCTCCGAGTCTCACCAAGACTGGTCCCGCGTTGTGGCTGCCATCTTTAACAACCCCAACCAGCTCTCCGGTGTTTCTTCGGATGAAGTTTCCCTCCTCATGCAACAAATCCCTCTCGCTCAGCGTGCAAAAGTTTTGCCCTTGCTCCATGAGATGATTTGGGATGCACAAATCCCCCTCACAAAGTATATTTACGATACAACTATTGCTGCCTACGCAGAACAGGGAAACACTGCCCTTGTTCAAGTCTTTATGGACCAAATGAATGCTGATAATATTACCCCAGACCACTACACCTACGGCAACCTCGTTAAATGTATGGCCAAAAACCGCGACCTAGAAGGTGCTGTCAAAGTTACAAAGGAAATGCAAGCAAAACATATTGCTCTTTCTGTCCCCATCTACACTACCCTCTTGCAAACATGCATCAATGTCGGTGACTACAACCAAGCATTTGACGTCTTTGACATGCTAAAGTTCCTCGGCACTGAAATGCAACCAGACGTTCCAGTTTATAACTCAGTAATGCTGGCTGCTGCAAAACAACAAAACGTTAATCGTGTGCTCGATCTTTACAATGAAATGACTACACGGGCCATTGATCCTCTCCGTCCAGATGCAAACACTTACTCAGTTCTCATTTACGCCTGTGCACGAGACGAAAAAACTCACATCAAGGCTTGGCATCTGCTTCTCGAGATGCAAGAGCGCGGCTTTGCTCCGGACAGAAGCACCCTCAATGTCATGCTCTATCTTTGCGGTAAGACAGGTGAACTGGCCTTTGCACGTTCCATTTTCCGTCAAATGTGTACAGATAAGGCTTCTTACCCAGATGCATTTGCCCTTAACTGTCTTCTGGATGCTTATGCCAATTATAAACCAGGCTTTTTTTCGCCCATTCTGTCGACTGCCTTGGGTACTAAGCTGCGTGCTGCCTTCTTTTACAACCTCGACATTGCGGCTTCCACACCTGCAGAAATCACACCGCCATTCTTGCCAGCACCTATGCTTGCAAACAAACTCCAAGTTCTTGCAGAGTCACGCGCCGTGTACACTTTTTTCCGCGACATGCAGTTTAACACAAGCGAAACCCACGAACGTGCACGCAAAATGCTCAACCCTGAGACTGGTTCAGTGCGGTTCATCAATGAGCGTACTACTCTCACGTACCTGCGTGTGCCAGCTAATCTGGGCAATGAAGCCGAGTTTAATTTCCGTTGGATCAACGAAACATGCATCAAAACGCATATGGAAAAGGGTAAGCGGATACTACTTCCCTACAAGGATACAAAACAACAAGAGGAACAAACCCTCGAACAATCATCAGAGCCGCAGAATACTTTGGAACAAGAGCTTACAAAAACCCCACGCAATCATTACATGTACGACCTGGCAATCCGCACAGCCACTAAAAACTCATGGCCATACAAGTCTGTGCGCTCGATCTGGGAGTCGCGTGGTGAGTGGCGCCGCAGTCCTCAGAGCACTTACTGGGCCACCATGAGCGATGTGGAGCGTCGGCGTTCGGATTTCCTTTTCGCTCGTGGAATGGTAGAATACTTGGCGCACACGCGTAAGCTTTTTGATGCTGTTGACATTGTACAGTCTTCGGTAAAACTGTTCCGTTGGCGCAAAGTTCATCTGGTTCCTATTATTGATGCAGCAAGAGAAATTGAGGACGAATCAACACTGCGCAAAATTAAAAAGATTCTTGCAAGTTACCACCAGCACAATGATGAGATTTAAAAATAAGAAAAAAAAAGATTATTATTTCTTAAATGTGCAACTTAAATCAATTTTTTTTATGACGATGAATGACTTTTTTATTTGATTATTATTGGCATTTTTTTTTATTCCCTTCGATTGTTTATTTTCTGTTCCTACCCATGTATATATTATATAAATTGCAATGTTTAACATGATTTTTATTCTGTGAAATACAAGATGATCCAAAATTAGAGATTTTGTCAATAAAGATACCCATTTTTTTTGCCAGGTTTTTTTTTTTTTTAAAATATTTATCAACAAAATTAAGTTGAAAACGAGTTGAAGTATAATTATCATTTCATCATGTTTATTTTGATTTGATACAAATGAGAGCCACCAACAAATTAATTCGACCCTTTTTAACTTTTAGTTACCTGGTATTTCTAACAAGATAATTTGGATTATAAAAAGAAAACAAAACAATTTGTAGTTGCAAAAAAATTCATACCAATCGGTATTAATAACAATATCTATTGCTTTATCATTTTTTATAAAGGAAAAATGAAACTTTTTTTTAAGTGGGTAATAATACCTACAAATTTACTATCTTCAAATTCATTCCATTTCATTCAATAATAAAGATAAGACTCTAAAAAAATGTGGATACAAATTTTTATATACATAAATTAAGAATGAAAACTATAAAGAAACTTCAATACACATTTATTTTTTCTGGTTATAATTCCCCTTTTTTCTACATAAGATCAAGTTTACCATTATAAGTAATCGAATGATGTTTTTTTTAGACTTCATATTGATATAGTTCATCTAGTTTTTTTTAAAGCGAATGGCGAAACAAAACTCGTTATCTGAATTTAAGTCTTATTAAACCGAATTCAAAAGTCTAATGAGGGCCTATTGATTGAAAAAAAAATAAGTATATGCAATTCGGCCGGACTCCTGAGATTTTTTTTTTTTTGGGAGGGTTAATTTGAAAATCATACGCACACTGCGTTAATGAATTTTGTTTTTTTATAATAAAAAGAAAAACCTCTTTTTGGTAAAAGATTTACTATTTATTTAATTAATATCGAACGTTACAAAATGAATAAAACACCAATTCTAAAGTGTACTTGTTGACCAATATTGTTTTTTTATTCAAAATTTTGAAACACTCCAAAATTTTTTGTATCACCATGTCCTAATCTGGCTCTGTAGTTACTATTGACCTTCTAAGAGAATAAGAAAAATGATAAAGAATTCTCGCAATAAAAACTGTTTGCAACATTTAAGCTTTGAATTAATTTTCAAAATGGCTATAACTTATTTTACAAGATAAACTATTTTTTCTTTAAAAAAAAAGAAGCTTTTTATACATCATGTCGCATATTTTCTTACTTTCCCTTATTGAAAAAAAAAAAAAAACATATTTAACCTTTTAATACATTTTCCATTTGAAGTGCTCCATTTATGATTTTTTACTTAGTTAATATCGTTTACATCTATTGAACATACGCCCATGACTTATAAAAAGAGTTTAAAACCCATTTACTTCTTTCCTGGCTAAGATGTTCCTTAATCAACAATTCTTTTTATAGGGATTTCATTTTTTAAGTGTTAATATAGTGACTAGGATATATTGCACGCAAAATATTTATTTTTAAACATGAAATTAATGTATTAGTCAAAAAAGTGTGCTCAGTAAGCATTTCAGCTGCAGACCATCATATATCATGGGGTTTATGCTAAAGAAAGATCCAAATAGCACCCAGTTAGAAAACAAATTTTTTAACTTGGTGTTTTTATTTTTTAAGTAGCTAATAAAGATAAGAAAAAAAAGGAGCTTTCAAATATTTACAAGAAAGTTCTTAGGAATCTCAATTAAATAAAAGGAATGAAAAAGTCAAATCATATTGTGTATATATATATATTGAATAAGATATATTGGCCATTAAAAATGAATAAGGAAAATGAGATCTTGATATGTTGGCAAACCAAATTCATTTTGAAAATAACAATACATAAACCCCTTGTTTTATTTTATTTTTGTTATTAAAGCAATGACTTGTCATTTTTATACAATAGACAAAAAAAAAGAGTAAATCCTTTTTTTTTTTTTTTTAAAAATTCCAAAGTAAAAACAGCTTTGTTTTTAAAGTACAGAATCTCATTGGTAAGACCTTAAAGGCAGTATACTAAGAATAATTATTCATAATTAAAACTAGTTTTATTTGTCATATAAATCAAAACATTCAAATTCTTTAGTTACATTAATGAACTTTTGTTGTAACGTCCATCTTTTTTTAAATTTTATTTTAGCTTAATAGAAAATGGACAGATTGTTTTAAACATGGAATAATTCAAAATATATTTTTTTAATAGCTTGGTTTAGTGATAACAAGGGTACCAATGATGACTGGTGACTTAATTTTTTATCAAATATATTTCAAAAGATCTAGCTAAAAATTCAACAATTTTATTTTATTTTATTTTTTTTTGCAAAATGTCTATTTTCATAAGTTTTGTTTCCGATACTAAATTTAGCAGATTGTCTTTTTATATTTGACTATTCCAGATTTTTTTTCATTACAGATCACTTAATGAATTACAAACTCAGTTGAGAGATTCATGGTTACAAGAAGCAAGATATAACTATACATGTGTTTTTTTTTTTATTTTTTACCTATTAAATTTCTTTTTATAAATAAACAAATCTAAAAGATCCATCTGTTATTTATAAATATAAACTTGGAATTTAACTTCAAATGGATCATTAATTTGCATTCAATGAAAGCAACTAAGTATACTTTTCATTAACCACAATTAGCTTCCAGACATCAAACCAAGTCTTCTAGAACACAAACTAGTTTGATTTTTTATTTTCTCCAATTAAAAACTAAATTAAAACCAGGACTAGTTTGTAATGTAATGATTAAGAAGGAAGTTAGTAAAAACTTTCTTGGTTAAGGTAATTAAACTATGATTAAAAAGAGCTTTACAATTTTTTAATGCCAAATCAACTAATGATAAAGAGTCATATTTACAAAACAAAATGAATTATAAAATCTAAATATCATTTTGAGATTTAAATGATCATTGAAAATGAAATGTTCTAATCCCCGGGTTTTAATTTTTTTATCATCTAATCATGAGGTCAAATCACAAGAAGATAGCATGATAGCTGTTGCATATTAACGTTGAAAAGACCTATCGATCATAAAAATTATGCACAGTGTTGATTTGAAAAAGATCCAAAGGTACGTACAAGACTTAGCAAAAAAAAAAAAATCAAAGTTGAAATTGACCATCCGCAGACCCTAGCCTTAATTGGTATTAAGGATTCCTGCTTGTCCCTTATTTTTATATTTATTTCATTTTTTTTTTAATTATTAAAGATTAAATGAAAATTGTTAATTTTTGCCAGATATCCGCTATATTTATTCAAAAATATACCTAATATTTTTTTATTTTAGATCAGCTATGCATTGATCTGGCTTTTATTAATCGATAAAGACCCTGAGTTACAGGAAAAAATATTTAAACCCCTAAAATTCTTTTGAATTTTACATTTATTTTTGATTCCTTTTTTTTTTTAAAAAAAACACAATGACTCTACATTCAAAAATGATTTTCGGTTTATTATTTTTGTTTTCCTCTGCTTTAACTGGTGTTGTTGAATCTGCACCTACAAGTGCTATGGAAGATCGCTTGAGTCATTCTTTTAGTCATTTCCCTAAACATGCAAATACTACACCTGAGTATCCAATTCACCAACATGGACAAGTCATACAAGAAAAACAACTACATGCTCGGTCTCCGTGGTCCATACCAAACGTTATCAATAGATTTGTTCAAGCATCAGATCCTGGACCAAACAATGTAGTCAATTTTGTCCCTCCGTTCATCACATACTCGACAATCAATAACGACTTTAGCTGCAAAGGCTATGACCAAGTTTTTGGTGAGTTTTTACAGATTAAGGCCAAAGGTATTAAAGGTGTGCGTGTTTACGGCGTGGACTGCAATTCATACTGGACAGTACAACCTGCAGCTCGTGCACTTGGACTCAAAATCATGCAAGGGTTTTGGATCACTCAAGCTGGAACTTGGTCCATTAATCAAGCAGTAACCGACTTGGTCAACTGGATTAAGTACTACAACGGGAATAATTGGGATCTAATTGATTCCATTATCGTGGGGAATGAGGCCGTGACTGCCGGCTGGATTGATGCACACCAACTTTTGGGCAAGATTCGTGATGTCCGAGGTCAATTACGTCAAGCTGGATACGTGGGCCCGATTTCAACTGCTGAGATTCCATCTGTATATATGCAAAATCCCTTTTTATGTGTTGGCGATGACACTATAGATTTTGTCGGTGTTAATGCACACCCATATTTTGACTCTGGAAAACGTTATGACCAGGCTGGTGAATTTATGCAAAGTCAAATCGATGTTGTTTCTCAAGCTTGTCAGGGAAAGGCTGTCAAAATTGTTGAGACGGGATACCCTAGTGGAGGGAATGTGCACGGTAACCAAGCCCCTAGCCCTCATGGTCAGGCGGTAGCCATTACGCAAATTTACAATGTTTTAAAAGGAGATGTTGTAATGTTTACCATGTATGACGACTACTGGAAATCTCCAGGACCTTTCAATATTGAACAAAAGTTTGGTATGTTTTGGTTGTTACCATAATTTTTTTTCTCTTTTTTCCACACCCAGTTAAATGTATAGTTTTGTGGTTTGTTTATAAATTTAATACAAAAAGTTTATTTTATTGTTTAAATTTTTGACTTCTTTTCTGTTTTTTCAATTTCTTCAATAGCAAGTCGTGCAAGAGTACCAACACTTTCAGCATGCTTTGCTGCATTTTCACTAGAGGCTTGTTTTCTTGCAACACGGGCCTTGATACCATGGGCAATCACAGAAAGTCTAAAATGTGCCGAAACGATGGCAAATGTCCAATCCTTGCTGGCATCGTATCCTGTCAAACTGGTATAAAGCTCAAGATTTTCTTGAACAGTAGGAAGACCTTGTGGCAAAGGGGCAGCTGTGTCTTGAAGACCAAAGCCCTCACCAAAAAGTGATTCAGGCCACGAAAAGGGTTGCATAAGGTTCCCGAGATCTGCAAGGGGGTGTCCAACAGTGCACAATTCCCAGTCAAGAATAGCAATGACTTTGTTTTCGGTAGGATGGAAAATTAAATTATCAATTTTGTAGTCTCCATGAACAATGGTAACGCGTTCTTTAGGCATGTGCTGGGCCATCCATTTGACAATTTCTTCAAACTGTGGAATAGGTCCTACCGTTTTGCCAGTATCAATATCAGTAACAGCAGCCTGGGCCTTAGCGACAGCACTTAGACTTCCAAGTTGGCGGGGGTAATGGCTTTCAAGACGTTTTGTAAAGATGGGTGGAAGCTTTCGGGGATCAACACTATGGAGCTTAGCCAAGGTTTTAACAGCAGACTGCCAGCATTCGCGACGGTCTTTTGGAGAAAGATCTGGAAGAGTTGGGTAGTGGAAAATGCGACCCTTGACAAACTCCATCATATAAAAGTCAGATCCGATAACGTCTGGATCTTGGCAAAGACAAATGACTCGAGGGACGGGGATATCGCCATTAAAAATTTCATAAAGAGCCTTAAGCATGGCGTACTCGCGATCGACGGCATGTGCAGTCTTTGAGACAAGCTTTCCAGGAGGCTTTTTGCGAAGGACGTACTTGCGACCTAACGCATCTTTCACTTGGTAAGATGGGTTGGACTGGCCAAAGCCAAATTGCTGGAGGGTAAAAGGTGCGACAAATTCTGCGGGGAAGTTTTTAGTGAGATAAGTCTCGAGGCTCTTTTGGTCAATTGAGTGGCGAATAGCCCCAAGGCCTGCCTCAGTATCTACTTCGTCTTTAGCCATGGTCGTGATGAATAAAATAATGAATTAATAAAATTAGTGATAAAAGTAACGTTGAATTAAAAAAAATAAAAAAAAAAAGGAAAATAAAAAAAAGGAAAGTTAAAAAAATTGTGGGGGTGGTGGCTTTTTATTACATTTTAGAGGACAGTGCTATTGTGTCTTATGTGGAGGTGGGGGGGGGGGGGAGAGGGTTAAACGACAAACAATCAGACCGCCTGAATTTAAGTACCTCGGTTATATGACTGTGGGGTTGGAGAATCAAAAGATAGCGGTTTAGTGGCGAAAAAATTAGGCCAGACAAGCCGATTGGGCCCAAGGCAGGTTAGGGTAAAAAAAAGCAAACCAGTTTCAGCCTTGCGACGTTTTTTTTTTTTAGTGTTAGGGCGTCTATGCAGGTGATAATCATAGAGGGATCGTCGAAACAAAACTAATTTCAGGGCAGGTTTTTTAAGAAATTGAAGATTCCACCAGGGTTAGGTTAGAGATAACTGGCTAGAGCACGGCTGTAGGGGGCTAAGAAATCTAAGAATGCAGTATGGGTCCAGAGGAAAAAATATTTTAGGCTACCACTTTGCGCCGCACCAAAGAAAATTTTTTTTCCAAAATTTGTCCTGAAATGTCAAGGAACAAAGAACATACCACCACCACCACCACCACCATATCACCTTTCCCACCACCAATACCCACCATACCAAAATACAATGCCTAAGGAAGTCAAGAAAAGAGGTAGAAGAGCCGAGAAGGCCCGAAAAGAAGAAAAAGAAGAACAAATAAAGCAAGTTCAACAGGAGGAAGAACAATATCAGCAACAATACCAAGATTTCAATAACGATGATAACGACGGATACTACTACGACGACACTAATGGGGATCAAGGCCGCGACGAAGAACAAGGCGCCTTTTTTGGTTTAGTCGACGAACAAGAGTTGGAATATTTTAAACAAGCAGAAAGTACTCTCACTGTTGATGCTTTTGGTTCATCTGAAGAGCGTCGTGGTTTTGTCTCTAGTGTGTTTGAAGAATCCAAAGGCAAAGAGCTTAAGCTTGTCACAAACCATATTTGCTCGCGTTTGATTGAGCGTTTGATTTTGCTCGCCAATGATCGCCAAGTCTTGGATCTTTTTAAGGCACTTTCTGATAACTTTTCAGTGCTTGTAAAACACAAGTTTTCGTCCCATGTTGTCGAAACACTTTTGCAGCGCGTAATTCCCATGGTTGAGCGCGAAATTCTTGATCCAGATTTTTTATCTAATCTTCCAGAATCAACTTCAGCCGGCCATACTCAAGAGGATTCTTTTACAACCGTTGAGAATCTTTTCCTTTATATGGTAAACGACATTAAACCTACCATAAAAACTTTACCCCAACACCAGTACGCGTCTCACTTTTTACGATTACTTTTACTTATCTTGGCAGGAAAGCCTGTACCCTCTGCAACTGAAGCTAAGTCTGCTTTAAGAAGTCGACGTAGTAAAGTTGCAAGAAAGAAAATTATCTTATCAGGAACATCGCACAACGAATATGCTGAAGACGACCAGGAACAGCAGCAACAAACAGAAGAGCGTGCTTATCAAGTCCCCAAGTCTTTTGGCGACGCTCTTGACGAAATCCTTGATGAACTTTTTAAAAACATAGACACCAAGCAAGCTCGCGAAATGTCAATCCATCCCATTTCTTCTCCAGTTATCCAACTTATCTTGGGCCTGGAGTCTGACAAAATTTCTAAACAAAACCCCAACCCTACAAAAATTAAAGTCCCACCTACAACTCTTATTGCAACATTGTTTCCATATAGCACCAATCGCTACAAGAAGATCGAGCTTGATGGAATCACTGATAAGGATGAAATTGAAAAAAAGACTAAAGAAATTCAACAAGGTGAAGAGGCTTACGTGGAGTATCTATTATCTGATGCCATTGGCTCCCATCTTTTAGAAGCTATCATCAACATTCTCCCCGTTAAGCTTGTTGCTCGATTGGCTGATCGATATATGGTTGGCCGAATCGGCAAGCTTGTGAGACGTCAAGAGAGTGGTAATTATGTTGTTCAGACTTTATTGCGTCGTATGAGCGGAAGAAAAGATATTGCTTCTAAGATAATGGACGAGTTAATTGTTGAAATTAAAGCCAAACTATTTTCCGATGGTAATGACGACAAAACTGCATCTAAGGTTGAAGGTGAAGAAATAAATTACGGTTTAATTCGTACTATTGTGGAAGTTGCTTCACAGGATTTAGGCGGCTATAAGCTGAGTGACCTTGTTGATGTTTTGCTGGAAAAATACGACCCTAAAAAGGACGGCAAACTTCTATTTACATTATTAAACATTAACAATGGTGGTGAATCTGAGTCTGCTGCTTTGGGTTCTGGCTATGATAACAACAGAGATGCTGTCAAGATGCAAAAAGCATTGCTACTACAAAGTCTTATGAAAGCTTCAGAAACAGTTGTTGAACTCGTCCTTGAGGGTCTTATTTCTATTGGCGATAATAAGGAAAATGGTGATGCTATGCTTCTTAAGTTTGGTCGTGACAGTATATTATCACATGTTTTCGAAAACGCTTTGGTAGTTAATAGTTCTAGCAAGAACGTGATTCAACGACGTCGTTTATTAAACCATCTTAGCAAAAGCACTATTTGCTGTGACTTGGCTGCTAACGTTTATGGCTCCCATATTGTTGACAAAATGTGGACTTTCTGCTTTCGACTAAAGTTTTTCCGCGAGCGCATCGCTGGAGAATTATCTAAACAAGAAGTTGATATCAAGTTAACACCATACGGCCGTTCCGTTTGGAAAAATTGGAAAATGGATGACTACATTAGACGTCGAAGAGACTGGTGGAACAAAGTGAAAGCTACTGAAGATGAAATGGGAGAAGCTCTTGGCATCGAACGAAAAGAGCTGGCTCCTGGAAGTCATAAGCAAGACAAACCAAGGGAGGATGTCAAAAAGGGAGGTAAAACAAAGCATGCTCCTTTCAACAGCAAAAATAGAACTCAAATTTATTAAATAAAGAATAATATATAAGACAATTACTTATTAAGCATATAATACTTTGTCAACTAGTGCTTATAGACTGTGGTAACATATATAAATATATATTTGTTGAAATATTGATCATTATATTAAACTTATAAACATAATTATAAACTTGTATTACACATGTGCATATTTATTATTATTATTATTAATGTAAAATCAACAGTTCTTATATTGGAAATTTTCATCGTTTAAAAAACTATACTCTTTTTTATTTGTTTATTATCTTTTCTTAGAAATCAAGACTTACCAGACATTTTTTGTTCTTCGCATCCGAATCCCAAGAAATCTAGCAAGCTCGTCAAAATGTGTATTGGACTCTTCCTCAGTAGGTAGAGAAGCAGAAGCGGAATCTCCTTCAATCAAATTTAAATCCGACTCTGCTGATCCTCCAAGTTTTTGGGAGAGTCCACACTTATTATTTCCAGGTTGCTCAACGCTTTTAGAGTTTTTGTCATTTCCAGAGTATTCACAGCGTTCATTACTTCCACAAACTCCTCCATGCTGATGGTTTTCATGGGAATCCTGATTCTCATTTTGTTCAGCTGCCTTCTTTGTTGACTTCTCATTCTCATCATTTTGTGCTTCTGGAAGGCTCTCTGTACCTTTAAGCCCCTTCGTTGAATTGTCAGACAAGTTTGATAACGTCGAAGAGGCAAGGGAGAGTTCAAGGGACTCGAGAGTAGTGCCCGCATGTGATAATAACTCGGCGATTTCCGCTTCATCGGGGGGCAAAAGTTCGTAAAATTTGCACCAGACTTCGACGTCTGCGCGTGAAAGTTCTCGAAACTCTTTGAGCGTTTTTGGGAAAGGGATTTTAAGAAATGGCAGCGCTGTTTCTTCGTCTTGATCTTCTTGAATGTCATTTGGTGTGAAATGTTCTCCTGGGATTGAGCCATCAGTGCCAGGTAAGGGTGCAATAATATCAGTGTCTTTAGTAAGAAAAGCGTTTGCAGTTCTTCTAATGCTTCGAGCTTCTCTTTATATATTTATAAAAATTAGTATCGGCATCAATTAATAAACTTAAAAACAATCCTTTTTTCCGGGCGAATTCTTGAATAATACTTACAGTAAATCAAGCTGTCCTTGAAGCTCAGTAACAAGTTCAACAATGTCGTCTCCTCTAATATAGGCATTTCCTTCGCCGTCACCATCTAATTCAAGATTATTATTTTCCTCTTTTGAAAATGATACGCTTTTTGGCTTAGATGAAGGGACAGTTGAAATAAGCTCCTCCGGAAGTGAGATAGTTGGCAGGCTATCAATTGATTTCCGTTCCTTATCAATTTCAATCGAAATTAATCGTCGTCCAGTATCCGCAACCACTTTATTTTGGCGTTGAACTTGTTCTGCTAGGGCGTTAATTTCGACCTTAAGAGATTCTAAACTGAGGGATTTATTTGAAGACATGGATGCAGTGAACTAAAATATATATATTTTTTTAAATGACCAGGGTTGTTGTAAAACAGCAATATGTGGTGCAGTGAGAAATAAATAATAGCAACAACAATACAAACAAATCTTAAAGCTTAAACGTAAACAAAAAAAAAACTGTAGCAAGAGCCAATGCCCACCACGTGAGCCAACAACCCATACTATCTGTAGACGATGAAACATCAGAAATATCAGAAACATTTTGGAAAGACTGCAATACTTAGTATTATAGTGCTTAAAGCACATAAAAAAAATTCAATATTTAGAGTAATAATTATTAGGCAAATTTTTAATTTAAATAATTGGATAAGTGGGATATGCCTTGCTTTGAGAGTTCATTCCTTACCAAGTATAGTAGTCATCTGATAAACCACAATAATTTACCTAAACTCACCACCATTCATATTGGTATTAAATGATTTATTGAAGTTTGTTTTGAAAAATATTGGAAAATCATCATAGTAATAATATACAACCTATATATATCTTAAGTATTTGCATTAATTGAAAAAAAAAAAAATCTCTGTTTCGAGGTTTTGGTTTTAAACCTAGCTGTTATTCAGTCTTTCAGATACATAATTATAATCACGTGCGTACAATACGGCTATTTTCTAAAGAAAATTTTTTTTTTTTTTTTTTTTTTTTTTGAAATTTTTTTTTTGTCATTTCATTTTGGTGTACAATATCTAAAATTTTTTTAAAAAACATCGACAAAAATGCCTGTTTCGAAAAACAGAAAGACGGAAAAATCTATAGGAGATTTAGAACTGCTAGAAGTTTTGAAATCTCGCCCATATGATCTTCTGATTCCAAGTGAAACATTAAAAAAACAATCTCTTGATTCTATTAAAAAATCTTTGGATCCCATAGCATCACATTATTCTATTTTCGATGAAGTTCATTTAGAGGGATTAGATGTGGAGCAAGTTTGGGCCCAGGCTCAGATGATTGTTGAGGGTGTTTTAGATAAAGTAGTTGCAGAAGAAGTACCTCAACTAATTGATGAGGGTGTTGTCAAACGAAGCTCTTTTAAAAGCGCCGAAATGACTGAAAGCGAAGAGGATGATGAAGAAGAGGATGATGATGACCAACAAATTAGCGAAAACGACGAATCTGAAGATGGCATTAACTCGGAAGAAGATTCCGAACAAGAAGAAAATGATGACTTTGAGTTGAAGAAAGAAAATGTTCCTCATGGGGAAGATGATTCAGATTTTGATATTGATATGGAGCACGATGATTATCAGGAATCGGATATGGAACTAGAGAGTGAAAAAGAAAATGATAACGACAAGGATAATAGCAAGACTAAAGATGAAATTGAAGAAGAAGAAAGTGGAGAAGAAGGCGATGAGGATAATGAAGCAGCAAAGGAACTTAATGATGATTTTTTTAAGCTTGATGCTTTTCAAAAACAGATTGAAGCTCTTGAAAAGGATAATGAAGAAGATGATGAGGATATCGATTATTTCGCAGATTTAAGCACTAAAGATCATGGAAAAGAAGAAGATGACGGCTTAGATGCTCTAAAGTATGAAGATTTTTTTGCACCACCAAAGAAAAAGAGAGCATTTAACGACAAGAACAGAAAGAAACCAGATACTAGAAAAAGTGCGAAAAAACCCAGCACACAAAAAGAAGAAGAGTTTTTTGGTTTTGATTTAGATGCAGACGAAAAAGAATATGAGAAGGCTATGGGTTCTATCCGCAAGGACTTGTTTGAAGAAGAAGATGATGATGAAGAAGAAAATGGTAATAAAACCAAGGAAATTCTTTCTACACTTGAGCAACAACAACGTGACATAAGGAATCAGATTGAGAAGTTTGAACAAGAAAATGTCGCATCAAAGTCATGGGAGCTTTCTGGTGAAGCCAAAGCTAAAGACAGACCAGCAAATTCTTTGTTAGAAGCCGACTTAGATTTTGAGCGTTCTCGTAAGCCAGCACCTGTTATTACCCAAGAGATTACCGAAACATTGGAAGATCTTATTAAGAAAAGAATTAAGAAAAATGATTTCGATGATATTCCACGAAGACTTCCTGATACACTTCCCGAATTTCGACCTAGCAAGCTTGCTGATGTTCAAGAAACAAAGTCCAAAAAGTCCTTGGGTGAGCTTTACGAAGAAGACTATCTTAAACAGACAGATCCTGATGCATATGCTGCTCAGCAAAATGAACAGTTGGATGCTGTCCACCAAGAGATTGTGAATATGTTTACTGGTCTAAGCCGTAAGCTTGATAGTTTATCAGCATGGCATTACACACCAAAAGCACCAACACCATCTATCTCAATTGTTGCAGAAGCTCCCGCTATTTCTATGGAAGATGCACAGCCTACAGCTCTTTCTACAGATGCCACACTTGCTCCACAGGAAGTATTTAAAGCTTCTGAAGCCAAGATGAACAATCTAGAAGTCATTGGCCGTGATGGTCTACCAATATCAAGATCCGAAATGAGCCGTGAAGACAAGAAGAAGCTCAGAAGAAAGATTAAGGCCAGAAAATCCAAGGTTTTCAAAGAGAAGGAGGAGAAGCAAAAGTCTCTTGCTCAAAAGAAGGGCAGTAAGGCTGATGTTATGGAAACATTGAAGAAAGCCAATGTCACAGTAATTGACAAGAAGGGCCAAAAGAGAGATCTAAGTGGTAAATTAAAAGATACTGGTAAAAGTATCAAGCCAACAGAGTTAAGATTGTAAGTTTGTAAGATTATAATTTAAAGATTAGAAAATACTTAATTCATTCATCTATTTTTTTTTAAAAAAAATATTGATTATTTCCTGTAAAACACACGCTTAAATTTAAAGTGAACTTGAAGGACTCCATTTTCAAATTTACAACGCGACCCTCTATGGGGCGAATTATCCCATTGTCTATCAACAATTTTAAAGGCAATATCTTGGTATGGGGCGCCCGAATGAAACTTGATTATACATGTATCATTCTGACCAGCAGCAATAGCAAGCTGCTTTGAGGTTTTGCGTTTGTCTCTGATAATAGAAAATGTAGGAGCCTGCTTCGAATCAATTAAATCTGGATAAAAAATATTGAACTTATAACCTTGAACAACCTTGGGAGGTGGGCTTTCTGCTGAGTAATGAGTCTGGTTGTAACGGTTCCATTCATATCCCAAGATAACCCGATTATAAAATCGTGGTTTTTGAAGGCCGCTATCAGATCCATAAACACCATTGTTTTCAAGTGGTACCATGTTTTCTTCACTGTTAAACATTTCCTCATTTTCATTCATTTGAACTCCGTCGGCATCGTATGTTGTTTGTGTTTTTGTCACAACCGGAGGCATAAATGCCAATTTTTTTTCTTCGTTAAATTCTGAAACAATATGTCGAGACTGGCTATCTTTAGGTCGTGTTTTCATAGGTATAAATCTTTGCTGTTTGACCAAGTCTCTGTTCTTTTCCAAATTTTCAATAAAATTAGCAAATTGTATACGTTGGATTTGAACGCCATCCTGATTAATAAACTGGGCCAAAAACATATGGTTATTTGCCTGGTCGGCTGGTGAAATGGTATCCATAGAAGAGGAATAATTAATTGATTTCGCAGAATGACGAACGCCTTGAGACAGTAGCTGTGATATTTGTATTTTTGCACGTAAAGCTTCTGTATGCTGTTGCTTTCGAAGTTGTTTAAGCCGTTCATCTATTACAGCCTTGTAAAATTGATCAATCTTTGCTTTTGCTTTGCAAATAACCAATTCCCTAAGAAGTCTTTCCCAAAAATCTATATCAACGGACGGATCTTTTGAAATTTTCATTATCTCCACTTCTTTTTCTAAATCCACTAGCTGGCTGTACGTTTTACCATCAAGAACTGCGTTAATATCATCAGATACCGGTCTGACAAGGTCATCTTCAGGATTTGCACCTCCTTTTAATTTTTCATTTAACGCCATATTTTCAAGTATTTTTTTTCGATCTTGGCATAGTATGAGTACCATTTCCCAAAACTCCGTATTTCTGGGATGCCTGTCGAGTTCAATGTATTTTTGTACATCTTCTTCCAATGTAATTATATTTTGAAGGTTCAAACCATAAATAATAGAATACGGAATTGGAATATCAAAGTCAATATCATCGTTATTAAAATCTGCATCATAAACTTTAGGATCTCCATCAATCAAGCGTAAGTTTGCGGCAATCCAATCAATAGGTTTTGATCTCCCTTCCTTAATTCGTAGCAAGGCACCATATTTCATTTGCTTTAATACAAAAGAATCTTCTTCTGCAACCCATTTTTTTGTGCGTTGTTCTTCTGTTTCCTTTTGTTTTTGTGAAAAGTGTGTTGGTCTGATCTTTTGTCTCTCAGATTTTTGATGATGATCTCTATAACTGTGCTTCATTGATATGGGAGATGGAGAACGCGATTTTTTTCTGCTATGATTTCTATTGCTTAGGTTCCTTTTTCGTGATTGTTCATAATCTCTGTGCCAGTAGCGATCATGGTCATGATCACGATCACGATCACGATCACGATCATGGACACCGTCGCGGTACCGGTGTCGATTACTAGATGAGTTACTACTTTCTGGGTCTCCATTTGACTTCTGGCTAAAAAGATCGGATTTACCGTAATGACCTTTTGAAAAATTAGATTTTATATCAGTGTCATGATGAAATGATTTGTGTTTTCTATCTGAATGCGCTGAGCCTTTTGAAGACATTGTAATACTATGAAAAGGTGGCGTTTGATTAATTTAAAAGGGGTCATATAAGAATTTGATTATGTACAGTATCTGCAATATTTGTAGTTAATTACGGTTACGTTACATGTAACTATAATTAACTATATTGTTAATTAATCAGCCACAGTATCTGTGTACTAATTAACTTAGCAACGGATTCAATTTAACTTCTGGTTGCTACATTGCTGCATATTTTAGCACACTTAAAAGAAAAACCTTTGGTGGCGAACCGTTAATTTAATTAAAATCGAATGGGCTTACTTTTGAGACAAAATAACATGAGATGCTACTAAATGAATTTATTTATGTTTTTTTTTTTTTTTTTTTTTTTTTTCAACTAAACTATATTTATTCATGACGGATGAAAAATTTTAGTACATCATGAACAAAAGTAAAAACCAAACACCTAAAACTTTGCCAAAAGAAGAGCAAGAACTACCCAAATTTGTTGTATATTTACGATTTCCGTTTTCTAGGAATGGATTTCAAGATCCTGGGTCTAATGAATGGAATGAAGAAAAGGCACATGAACTACGGGAATATTTATCGACCACTACTTTAAAGCGTGGTGAATTAGACTGGAGCTATTTAGCAAATCGATTTCAAGTGTCAGAACCTTTTATTTTGCAACAAGCAATATGGCTTTATGAACGAGAACTTGAACACGTTCGGGACCAAATGCAAAGAGTAAACCGACATATTTTTGTCAACAAGTCACAAGAAAAATTCAAGACATCGTTTAGATCAATTTTCCCATTGCCGAAACAAGGATTATCAGAATCGTGGATTACGCCAGTGGATGGTAAACCTTTTCATCAAAATACACATAAAATTCCGTCTAATAATGAAGCTCAGCAACGCCATTTTAACGAAAATAGCACAAACCCAAAAATAGTTAAGATAACATTAGACTCTAATCAACCACACCTGAAATCTGATGATTACTTTTTTTCTTTACGTAAGAAACTTGAAAAAGAAAACCCATCAAACTCAAATGATAAAAATGAAATTTTTCAGGGCGACGAAAATAACGTGGGAAAAAACGAACCTTATGAGCAAAACCTACACGACAAAAATAGTCTATCAATGGCAATGAATAAATTGACAAAGCATTTGCCTTTGAATAGGGACTTTAAAAGACCTTCGATATTTGAATCTGATACGGAAGATTTTGGCGATGAAGAATTTAATGAAGAAAAAACAAATTATGATAGCAAGATATCGGATGAGTTTGGAGAGGATGACTATGATGCATTTTTAACATGATAGTATTGGAGATATTATCTCAACATAAAGTTTATTTTGTTTTAATCTATTACTGTCTATTAATTAAATCTGAGCACGTTCACTCAAACATCGATCGCATTGACAATCGAAATACCATTGATTTTTAAGCTGTTCATGGCGTTCTTTATAAGGCATGTCGTTGTACATGCCGTAATTAATATAAAGTTGCTCGCCTGCTTTGACCAGTCGATTTGTTTGAAAAATAATCCTTCGACCGCTCCGAACCTTTCTAACATTGTGACTGCACGCGTGGTTAAAAAAAGAGCAGTAAGGGTAAAGAGAGGACCCTAGAAGTTCACTGTCAGGTGTTATCGGAAGCTGCCATATCCCAAATGCATTCGCTGCTTCTCGGCCCAAAATATCTCGGAAAATTTTTTGAGTTAAAAATGGCAAAAGTTGTAAGGGAAGAACGGCATTCAAAAACATAAAAACCTTAATTTGGATTTCAAGCATGTCGGGAAGAGTTTTAAGATGTAACTCTTCATTTGACTGAAGATCACCAAAATACTGGAACCCATCATCAGAAGTTTCATTGCAAAAGGCACTCATCAGTGGGGCTTCGTCTTTATTTAAAACTGCAGCACCAAATGATTTAAGAAACATTTTAACAACAAGTACAGCAACAAATCTGACTATGTCTTGTTCTTCTGATGTAATTGCAGGAACTTTTCTATTTTTATTTTTTGAACGGCTCTTTTTTGAATAGCTCTTTTTTGTTTTGGGCTCTGAATCAGTATCTGAAATAACATCTGAAATAACACTTGTTAAGCTTATTGGTGAATTAGGAGTGGTGGGTGTGACTGGAGTCAAAGAATATGCCGGACTTGATGATGTTGAAGAGGGTATGCTTGTTGTTGATAAATTCAATTGTTGAGATGCAAGAGAAATCGTGATATGTTCAGCAACACCAAGGGCATCATTCCACTGCTTTTGAATAAATTCGGAGTTGATTTCAGACGTCAAAACAGAAGAAACATTTTCTGGGACAGGTGTTTTTTTTGACGTTGGAACTGCTTGATCAATAGAATTTAAAATAAATGAAATGAGCCCTGTGGGATCCTCTTTGACAATCCATTCGTCTTTACATATTTCTGAACAAAAAAATAGACCACCAAATGCTTGAGTTTGTGAGACCAATGAGGATGGTATAGAGAATTTTATTGGTTGCAATGTGCTTTTGCCAAGTTCAGTGTTTAATCTTTCAATAAGTTTAACTTGATGTTTGGGATCGAGTTTAAATTTGCAGCTCTTGTGAAAGTCACAGGAAAAACAATATGCACAGGCATCTTTTTTGTATTTTCGAAAAATGTTAAAGGTTAATGGTGTCGAGCAATTTAAAATAGTTGTATTCTCGGGTATATCGGAGTTGGCAAAAAAGCCTCGGCCACCATATTCAGTGATTTCGAGGTGGATTAAAGTCATATGAAGTCTTGGTGGGTGTTGTTTTTGAAAGGAAATAAAAATTTAAATTTCCTAAAGAAAAAAAAGCAAAGGTAAGAGCAGGTTAATGTGTAAGTTGATAGCAAATAAACGCTCAATTTATTGTTCATTTTAAAATTTTACAAATTTTTTTTCTGAAAAATTGACGATCCAATGTTGAGCCGCACAATTTTTTTTGGATTCCAAAAAAAAAAAAAAAAAATAATAATAAGAGCCAAAACGAATGGTTCGAACCAGAATTTATTTTGTTAAGCTTATCCCATCCTGTTTAAAACACACGTGGAAGTTAACTTCTTGACAGCAAAACATGTAATAATCAATGGAAAATAGAGTTTGTAACAGCGCGGTTTCTATGACCATGTCTTTCTTTAGGGCTTTTGACTTCAATGATTCTGCTTTATGGAGTCTCTTAAATAAAATAAAATAAAATAAAAAATATATAAATAAATAAAAAGAATAGCCAATATAATTGATTTCATGCAACTGTTTTTTTTTTTTTTTTTTTTTTTTTGCGTGGTTAATCAAGCCAGGCTTAGATAAAAAAATTTTATTTTAAATTTTCTTGTGGAACGTCCTCGACATGCGTTCCATTTCCTCGTAGTTTATATGTTGCGTGTAAGCAAAAAATAGTATGCCAAACCCTAGTTATCTGACCTCCTTTTTGGTCACTAATTTTTAAGTGACGAAGTTAAATATTTTCATTCATTCCTATTCTTTTCTTCCCTTTTCTTTCTTCTCCTTTCATTTTGTCTTTTTATTAAGCTGAGCCCAAATATATACAAAAATCATATATTAGGCTGCTCACCCGATTTTTTCCCCCGCTAGTCTACTTTTTCTTCCATTTCCTTTTGTCCTCTTTAGAATTGACTACATTACTTTCATCATCTTCATCATCATAGAAGAAGGAAACAACACACATCAAAGACACTTCCAGCAAGAAAAAATAATAAATCTTTCAAAACATGCGGTTGAGCTCGATATTATGGACACTTTTGGCAACTTCTGCTATAGCTTCGCCTGCAAAGCCTACAAAGCCTGAAATTGCTATCTCCAAAGGCACCGAAGTTATTACACCCGGATCTAAGGAAGCCGAAGCACTTACAGCAGCGGACAAAGCTTCAAAGTTTGCACCTAAGGATAATACTTTTGTCGAAAACTTTGACAAGGGAAATACATTTAAGAAATCTGAACCTAAGCTTTCAGATCAAAAGATTGACGTTCCCGACAATGAATCTTTAAGTCCTAACAAAAATAAGAAAAAAGTAGCAGCTACAAAAGAAAACAAAAACCCCGTCGTGGTCAACGACTACGATCCTAACAACATGGGTGTTTCATCTGAGGGAAAGACCAAGGCACAAGAGCATGTCGATAAGGATTCTGAAGCTGAAACAAGTGAACACCAAAGTGAGGCTAGCGTTGGAGACACAGAATCATCCAAAAAGCCTGTCGAAGGGACCCCTGATCAGCAGTCATCTGATTCCAATGTGCCCATAATTTCGAGTGACGGATCAATCAATGTTGATTCCAGCTCGTCATCTTCTTTACTATCTTCCTCAACAGAGCCTAGCACTGAGTTAAAAACACAAGAACGAAACTCTGAGGCTTCTGATCGCTTTCATGCTTTAGTCGTGTCTATTTCTATGACTATTATGTCCGAAATTGGCGATAAGACTTTTCTTATTGCTGCCATCATGGCAATGAAACACAATCGTGCGACTGTATTTACAGCTGCGTTTTTTGCTCTAGCTTTGATGACAGCGATTTCTGGCGTCATTGGTCATGCTCTTCCTAGATTTTTTTCACCACGTTTTTCGGCTCTCATTGCTGGTGCTTTATTTCTTTTTTTTGGTATTAATCTATTACGTGAGGGTATGACTATGGAGAAAGACGCCGGCGTCGAAGAAGAAATGGAAGAAGTGGAAAATGAAATTAATGCTACCAGTCACAATGAAGATTTAGAACTTGGCTTGAGGGATGCAGCAGGAACGGCTTCAGCAGCTGGTAGCGCTGGCGCTTCCGAAAAGTCTGCTGCGCCCGTGGCCAACCCTCCCTTGCAACGCACCCCTAGTAATCCGCGCATTTCCGGAGATGGACTTGACACGATTGCTGGCGATGCATCACTTTATGTTCCCCGGCCTCGACGCAACAACTCGGGAATTTGGTCTGGAATTTTGTCTAGTTTAAAACGAATTTCTGAAGGCTTGAGCAATTTGTTTGGTTTAATCTTGTCACCAATTTGGGTTCAAATTTTTGCCATGACCTTTTTTGCAGAATGGGGCGACCGGTCGCAAGTCACTACTATTGCTATGGCTGCCGGGTCAGACTACTGGTGGGTTATTATAGGATCTGTTTTTGGTCATGCCGTTTGCACTGCTAGTGCTGTCATTGGTGGCAAGCTTTTAGCTACAAGAATCACACTACGCAACGTGACATTAACTGGTAGTCTGCTCTTTACTTTGTTTTCTCTCATTTACTTTTGGGAGTTTCTGTCTTCTTAGAAAAAACAGTTATAATAAGCATGTAAAAATTATTATATTTTTTGATAAAAATTCAAAGACTGTAGTTGATGCCACTCAGATCAACCAACAGTTAAGCCACTAAATTAAATGTTATTTCAAAACTCACCTAAGATGCAATTAAGATATGCCAAGTAAACAAGAAATGTGTCTTTCAGGTATACTCTAAATTACTTTACGTTCTCTAATATACACATGTCAAGAAATTTAGATCAACTTTAACTTGCAATTATTTGTCAAAATAAAAGCCAATATATAAAGGTTTTAAAAGTCAAAAATCTAATTTTAATAAAACATTTGTTATTTAAATTCAAAGTCAGCTTTAGAATCCTTAAAGAAGATCAGACTTATTAGCTGCACAAAATAAGGCATTTGTATTAAATTTCCTAATGACTTTATCATTAAATTAAAAATAACACTAATACTGTTAACATTACCTTTAAACCATTGTTACTTAGACTTATGAATTAGGGCCAGTTATTTTTTTTAAAATTAATTTCAGAAAATAATTATGGTAATAAAGATACTTATTTTGTAAGCTGCTAGTCAAAATGTATTCCAGTAAACGTATATGGTAATATTGAGTATTCGGTTAACAACGGTCAATAATTGAGACATATGACCCTGAAAAACCGAACCAAAATCTGGAATGTAAGAAACATTATTAAAGATTTTGATTTTTTTTTAGATAAACCTTCAAGCAGTGTATGATTGAAATCAATATAAATACTATTAAATATCACAAAATAAATTTTTCAAAAATTTCTTAATAACTCATGGCTCTCTAAGATTTTTTGGCGTTCGATATCAAAAATTTTACGTTTACTTTGTAATATTTATTTTTATTTACAATGAATAACATAATGTTCAAATTCAAAAATCTTCGTTTGATAATTCATCAATACATAAATACCAACCTAAGAAATAAAACCATCAACAATCTACACAATAACTAGTTAATTAACTAGTTATAATTAATATAATTCAATGATTTACTACTATCAATTTAATAAATTTTATGGTCTACGATCTGCTCTTGGTTTTGAGTCGTTCATTTTTGTTGAATTTTTTTAATAGGCCTACCTATAAGTAGGTACAAATATTTTCAATGTTTAAAGAATTACCCATAATTTCGTCCGGATCATTTTTATAAGGAATATTTTATAAAAATTCAATGACTGATTTTGCACCCTGGTCTCATGAGACAGTATCGAATGTTGATTGGTAGGATAAGAGTATGACTATATGAAACCCCCACACAAATACCATTTTGTAACATGTCCGAGTATCTCCGTGGATATGTCCCCCCACAATCTCATGACACATTATAAAAATTTTTTTATTTACTCACAAAACAAGTGCAAATTTTTGTTCTGTGCCGTTAAAAGTTAAAAATTGCAGTTTTTCAAAAATTTAAAAATTCAAATCAAACATAATTATGAGTAAGCAATTTTGGAAAAAAAAATTTTTTTCTCTATTTGGTAGTTTTTTTTATTTTATTTTATTTTTATTTTATTTTTATACCTAAATTTAGTTATTAAATTATTATTAAAATTTGATTCAGAAGATTTCTAAATTATATAATTTTGCAAAAAAAATATGTGCTTGCTTTTATTTTTCCGAAATAGCGTGCCGATGCAAGTGCCGTGTGACTTTAGAACATATTTATTTCCCTTTTAAGAAATAATAAGGAGTAAGGCTTAAACCATAGTGAACATTTTTTTTTATTTATAATTCAATTTACTTAAACCCTTTGAATATAAAATATATGAATAAGAAAGGTTATCTTAGAAACAATCGAAAAAAAATTCAAATTATTACACATATATGTTTTACTTTAAAAATCTTTCAAAGTGGGGAAGCCTGAGCAACAAAAAATGTGGGGCCCAAAAAAAAAAACTGATGAAAATCAAGTAAAGGGTACAGAATAAAAAGGCCCATATACGGACATGTAGGTAGAAATTTCTATGATATTAATGTGGGGGACAAATATGTTAAAGCCAACACCTTTAAATGACTTTTTTATGGCGGTTAAGAACACTGAATTTGCCGGATATAATACCTTTTTAACTAGAAATGGAGAGAGACCCTCCGAAGCACAAGGCAGCATTTGCCAAATCTGGAAACTGAGGCTACTAAGTGCTATGTTAAACTTCCAACTTCAAGCCAAAAAAATTTAAAAACCAGATTTGAATTATTTTTTTATTCAAATTCGGGCCCGGTTTGGGTCCCCCGACTTCATATTGCTATTCTCTCGCTCACAAGTATTTTCCCCCAAATTTTTCAGTCATAGTCGATCATCCCTCTGTTAAATGAACTTAATTTATTAGGTATAAATATCCATAACATTTCCAGTTCACATTTTTTTTTTTTTGGTTTTTTAAACCTTCATTTTTTATTATAATTGATTGATAATTTAATTGGTATCATTACTTTTTACCTTAAGTTTTTTTTTTTTTGCATTTGAAAATGACGGGTAAGTTTTTAGGATCTTTTTCATTCATTATAATGATTAATTACTAATTTTTTTTTTTTTTTTCAAAAAGACCAAGTCGTTAATTCACAACATAATCTTGAAAAGGAATCTATCGATCATGATTCTTCCATAAATGAGGTGACTCAGGAAAAACTGGAAGCTCAAGGTTTTGATGAAACTTCTCAATTAAGACTGACACCTGAAGAACAAAAAATTCGTATTAGCGAACTTGCAGAAAAGTATGGTGTTAATGAGCGTAAACTCATGCTGAAATGCGATTTACGCATTGTTCCAGCAATCTGTCTGCTTTATCTTCTCGCATTTTTAGATCGAGTCAACATTTCTAATGCTAACGTTTATGGTCTTGCAACAGATCTTAACCTGCGTGGCCACGAGTATAATACTGCCTTGACTATTTTCTTTGTTCCATACATTGTCTCTGAAATTCCTTCAAATTATCTTCTAAAAAAGTTTAAGCCTCATGTTTGGCTTACTATTTGCATGGTTCTTTTCGGATGTGTCACCATAGCTCAAGGCTTTGTTCGAAATTTTGGTGGTCTTGTTGTCACTAGATTTTTCCTCGGTCTCTGCGAAGCAGGTATGTTTCCTGGTTGCTTCTATCTTTTGTCCATGTGGTACCGCAGAGAAGAAGCTCAAAAACGTTATTCGTTTTTCTTTTCCTCCACTTGTCTTGCTGGTGCATTCAGTGGCTTGATTGCCGCAGGTATCTGGCGGTTAGATGGAAAAAGAGGTCTTGAGGGTTGGAGATGGATTTTTATTATTGAGGGCGCTGTTACAGTCTTCTGCGCTTTGCTAATGTTTTTCTGTGTTTCTGACTTTCCTGAAGATGCATCTTATCTCGAGGAAAATGAACGTCTATTTATTAAAGAAAAGCTTGCTTTAGATGTGGGCGACTCTTCTCATGATGTTAAAATTACATTCAAAGGCATTCTTAGAGTTTTTAAAGAATGGAAGATTTGGTTTAGTGGTCTCATGTACTTTTGCCTAATTATTCCTGCATACGGTTATGCTTACTTTGCTGCCGCTATTGTCAAGTCATTAGGACATTCACCTCTCAAAACTCAATTTTATTCAGTCCCTCCCTGGGTCGTTGCTTTTGGTCTTTCCATGATTATGGCTGTGTTCTCCGATCGTTTAAGACACAGATTCTCATTTTCTTTTGTTTGCTGCTTAATTGCAGCTGCCGGATTTATCATGCTTTTGGCCAATAAAACAAATGTCCATGTTCGTTATGCCGGTCTCTTTTTAGCAGCTTCTGGTCTTTATACAGCCATGCCTATTCTTGTTTGTTGGACAAACATGAATTTTTCAGGTCATCATCGAAAGGCTATTTCTACGGCCTGGCAAGTATCGTTCGGAAATATTGGTGGCATCATTGCAACGTTCTCTTTCTTAGCTAAAGATGCCCCTCATTATATCAAAGGTGTTTCCATCGGCCTTGCCTTCTCTCTTCTGGCTGGTATTTTGATGATTGGTTATCTCCTGGGTTTAATGTATGACAATAAAAAAAAGCGTACTCCTGAGGCTATTGCCAAATGGGAAAATCTTTCACCAGAAGAAAAGAGAACAGCTGGTGACTTGAGTCCATACTTTTTTTATGACTATTAAAGATTCCTGTTCACTCATACCTGATTAGGTATCTCTTCAGTCTTTTTCGTTTTAATGACCTTTGTTGTTTTTGATTTGTAAAAAAAAATATTTAGGAATGATGAATTCTAAATAATGAGCATAAATAAATAGAAGAAAAAAAAAGCTTTAAATTTGCTGGTTGTAGCGCATGCTCCACGATTGTTAAAGTTTTGCTGTTACAAAACATCATAATTCGGTACCAAACATCTACATACAACGACAGTTAAATTTTAATAACCATAGTTAATACCGTAAATATCAGACCACTAGCAGATCAAGTACTAGAGTAATGTAATTGCACTATGAGCTTAACCCATAAACTGCGTTCATCTTTATTTCGACCTTCTCAGCAACTCTTTTCTCTCCTTCCTTATTATCCTCTCCCTTTTTACTTCTTCACTACGCCACATTAACAATCTCCAATTCTTTTGAAGCAAACAACCCTCTTATAAACTTCAAATCTTAATCTACAAAAGATATTAAATTATTTTTAAAATGTCTTGGGACAGTATGTTACAAATAAAAAATTAATAGAAAAATAAAATCTCTCATATGGAGGGAAATCCATGTTTTTGAAATTGCCACATAGCTTTCTTTAATAATGTATACTCTAAATGAATCAAAAGCTAACTATGTTTGTATTTTTAAAAAAAATCAATTAGGGCGCAGTGATTTTTAAATAATTCTAATGATCTCATGTTAACTCTTTAATACCAAAAGCTTTCAGATATCATATGGTTTTTATTATTCTAACTTGACTATCCCCCAATATTCAACTCAATTGTATATATTCTATTTCTTATCTGATAAATCCTTCTTTGTTCATACAATATTTAACCACTTAATACTATACAATTGGATATTTTGGTTGCAGCCTTCCCCTTGATTATTTGTAACTGAAACGTGTCCATATTTGAAATCCTCCCATCCCCTCCCTTCCCCCTTACTCCTTACTCCTGATTCTACCATGATTTTTTTTTTTGTTTTGTTGGACCTTAGATGTCAAAACTATTATAAAATGCCAATTTTTTTTAAATATTAATGAATTTAAAGTATAATATTTCTTTATCTTGATATTTTTAACAATTTCACCAATCTTAATATATTTCAATGGATATTAGGTTTTTACATGGATCATTGGAACTATAAGAGTCACTTCGTCAATTGATTTTTTTTATTTATATCAATAGGTTACGTCGATACACTTAAGAATCAGCACCATATTGCTCGCTCTGCAATTGTCTCCAGAGCTGGCGACAGCGTTTGGGCAAGCTCTAGTGATTTTAAGGTAAGCCAAATTACCTTGAATTAGTATTTCAATATTTTTTATTAATTTTTTTTAGCTTTCTCCCACCGAATTGTCCGAAATTGCCCAGGCCTTTGACAACCCAACCAGAGTTCTCAGCTCGGGTGTTCATGCCAATGGCCAAAAGTTTTTCACATTAAGTGCAGATGACAGAGTCATTCGTGCCCAGCGTAATCAAGATGGCATTATTGCTGTTCGAACTAAACAGGCTATCATTATTTCTAACTACGATGAGAAAGTTCTTGCTAATTCTGCTTCAACATCCACTGAGAAATTAGCTGATTATTTGATTAAATCTGGTTATTAAGTTGATTATTAACTTTACTAAAGATTATGGGGATGATAGGGGATTAAAATGATACATAGCACATAAATATTAATTATAAAAAAAATTTTGAAAACTTGTTGATGAAATCATTATATTTTAAGCAAAAATGTAAGAATCTTTATTTACTTTTTAATTATATTAAAAAGCAAGACTTGACAAATTATCTCGTGCCGTGATTCCAATTAATGAGATATGAGCTTCTGTGTAGAGATTTGTCAGCTTTTTAACTAGATAACACTATTATCCTAATTGTATTTTGACTGAAGCAACCTTGCAAGTTCTGATAATTTAGCCAAATGATTTGAGATAATAGGATTTAACTTAAATATTTGGTAAGCACTATTAAACAGGAAGCATTTGAACTCCAGCAATACGATCAACAATCTATATTTACTGTTAGTGGAATAAAAAAAATAGGTAAATCAAGAAAACATACTGGAGCAATATAAGGATGAGATAGTAAAGGCCCGATGACAGGAAGTGATCTTAAAAATGCCACAATAACCCCAAAAAAGTCACCAAAAAGTGAAAGGATGCCTATGCACTCAATACCAAATCCCACAAAAGATCTTTTGAAAAGAATAAGCACAATACCTAATACAAAACAAATTGTTCCTCGAATTTTGTTTGGACGAGCAAAAAAGTAAAATGTGCGACGTAACCCAATTATAAGTCCAATTCCAATAAGGAACAGAAGATTTCCAAAAGCCAGTAAAGCGGAATCAAAAAAAGTTATTATACCTAAGCAAAAGAAAAAAATCCCTAAATCAATGTCAACAAATTTGATTCATCAAATTTAAATAAAAAAATTGCATACCTGCAGCAGTAAAGCCGACACCGTATTCTGCGAAAAATAATTGTTAGTAACGCTGTTAAATATTAAAAAAGTAATCCAGAAATAAATACTCGTAAAGTCAAACCCAATGATATATTAAAAGCATACTCTGAACATCAGATAACCACATTGCAAATATAATAACTTAAATTGAAATTGAAATTACAATTTTTGATTTTAAGTATTTTTTTTTTTTTTGGAAATTCACTCAAAAAATTCTTGAAACAATAAGTTAGCAGATTAGGTGTTGAACTAAAATAAAAATCTGCTGAATGATATAACTATGTGCAGGCGATTATTGAAAATTCATATGTAAAAAAAATTAATCAATAACTTTAAGTGTCAAAAAGTTTTATAACAGATGTAAATGTTAAAAAAAATAATTGTCAATTTTGCAATAAAACTTACAATATTTTTCAATAAATTTTACACTTTCACACTATCAAAGGACAATCTTCAATTCGACATTCAAAGTCACAAGGTTCTGAAGTTGCCAATTAGGGAGATAAGTAAACTGAAAAAAATATCAAGCTTGGAATCCGTGTAGGCGTGGCAGTTTGGAAAATAATCAATTTGTCACGTGCATTTCATCAATTAATTTATTAATTTCTGGTTCGAACCCAGTATTATGACAAATTTTGTACCTTATTAGGGATAACGATTGTTACTATGGTTGACAACCAATGTATCTGATTGGCTAAGGATAAACCACAACACTAGAAATTTTTTCAGTTTTTTTTTAGATTAATTTTTTTTCCTTTCACTTTTAGAAACCATATTCACAAATTACAAACTCGCCATGCTTAGAGGAAAGGTTTCAGCTTCCACCAAAGCTGCTCTATGCAGCAAATCTGGCTCAATATTGGGTTCAACTAAGATTCAGACCCCAAAACTGCTCAAATCGCCAGTTAGGCAACAAACAATGGCATATGCAACCAAAAAAAGTTTTTCTCAAAAGTCCGGCGGATCCGATGAAAAACGCAGAACAACCCCAGCAAAGAATAGAGACGGTTTTATTTACTCTTTTGCTCATACTGCTCCTTATTCCAATTTCCATCTCAAAGCTCCAAAGATTACCAACGAGGTTTTTGATTTGGCCACTGTTTTTCCTGAAGACGTCAGCAAGAGGCTTCCTAAATCTAAGGTTTATGAATACTCACAGAAGTCGATCCCTTCGCTTATTCATCTTGGTAGCTTTAATCCAGATCAAAAAAATGAACTCTTCAATAAACATATCTCTCTTTTCCGCACTTCTTCTTCAGCTCAAATTTTTGATATCCTTAAAGCTGGTATCAGCTCTCCTTCAAGCGGGAATAGATTTTGCATTACAGGTGCAAAGGGTTCTGGAAAGACCACTGCAATCACACATGCCCAATCCTTTGCTGTTGAACAGGGATATGTTGTGATTCATATTTCAAGAGCTCTTGATCTTGTTTCCGGTCGTTATGATGCTTCGTTAGTGAAGAATTCACGTCTTCAATCATCTGATTCTACCGGCAGAGTTTTCAATCAGCCAATGTATGTTAACAATTTAATGAGAAAAATTGCCAAGGCCAACAAAGATGTTCTTGGATCGATCAATTTGTCGAAGGAATACGAGTTTCCTGCTTCTAGATCCTTTAAAGCTCTTAAATTTACTCCGACTGACTCTCTTTACACAATGCTCATGAATGGCCGCACACATATTGAAAAATGCGAAGTATTTAACGCTTTTTTGGAGGAGCTTTCTTTACAGAAGCAAGCACCTGTTTTATTCACCATGGACGACTTTAATGCTCTTTCTCACCATTCTTATGCCGTCAATAGAGATGTTGATAATAATCCCATATATCATGGCGAGCTCCAGCTTCCCAAAATCTTTCTTGATTTCTTTTCTGGTGAACGTACTTTCCAGAACGGTGTGATCATGACTGGTTTATCATCATACAAAAATGGATATACTATCCCTCATGGTCTTGGTCAAGGCAAGCCCTACGCCTATGCTAAGTCATCTGACTATGATCCCACTCTTGCTGGCAAGATGCGTGCTAACGGTGGTGTCAAAGCAATTAATATTGAACCTTTAACGCTGGAAGAGACTGAGGCTCTTCTCAAATATTACTCTTCTGGTAAAGTTATACACCAACCTGTTGATGAGTCGTTTGTTCAGCAAAAATATTTTCTGAGTGGTAATGGCAATCCATTAGCTCTTTTGAAAAGTTGCATTGAAGTTTACTAATTCATTATCCTCCATTACAATAAAATGTCTGTAAATGAAGAAATAATTTTGTTTTTTTCCTGTATATAATTGTACAAATAAAATTCTTTTTCTATTAATTAATTTCGATCTTCAATCTTTTGTCTGATGGCTTTAGATTCGAATGAATCTAATGGCTCTCCTGATCGCTTTTTAGGCTTCATTTGTTGGAAAACATTATCGAAATGATGACGTACTTGTTTCCAGTTATATGCAATAGTAGGTACTATGGTTAAAAGTTTTTGTGCAGTAATATTATCAAAAATTGATTCGAGAACGCTGTTATAAACCGAAATATGGTTTGGTGTTTCTTTATCTTCTCGCATTCTTAAAAACCTCCACTGTTTGTTTTCACAAGAACATTCTATAATGCGATCTATCAAAGGTTCTTTCAAGAATTTCAAATTTTCCCATTCATCTTTAGAAAAAGAAAGAATGCCAACTTCTTTAATATTATTAGCACCAGATCCTATAAACAAATGACCCCTAGGTTTGCTATCATAGTCTTTATACTTGAACTTTTTTTTCTCATCATTCACTTGCTGAAACTCTAGGTCTAATACAAAATCGACGGTATTCAAGTGTGGGGGCTTCCATTTTAAACTAAAAGCATTGGTTAAATCGTTTTCCAAAAAAATAGAAATAGAAAAACTTACATATTTTTGTCCGTGCCAATTGTATAAGGTGCGTTAACCGCCGTAAAAATCAAACCATCAGAAACGTGTTTAAAATCTTTACTCCCAATATGTTTGAGAACCATCTCCATTTTATAAGAAGGAGTCATTTCTTTAAAATAAAATCTCATCTGAATGTTAGCAGTTATTTGTTTCAATATCAATTAAGTGCATACTTAAAGGGAGCTGTACTCTTATTAAAATTTATCTTGTGCTCCATGTATTTTTCGTAAATTTTTGTTAAATGCTAATAATATTGTTAGAATTGTTAAAAATAAAAATAAAAATAAAATATCTTAAAGACTTCATTGAATAATACTAACATTTCTTCTTTCAATTAAATTTTGATTTACTATCACCTTTCCCTCTTGAGCCATGCAATCAAAAGCAAAGTACTTTGTCTGACCTTCTTTGTCAATGATAATTTCACCGTCTATTAGATTTTCATGAGAGCCAAATGTGATATTTGAAACTTTGAAAAACTCATTAGCACGAGTTATCTAAAAAAATTTAAACATAATGTAAGTAGGCTTAAAACTATCAATATATATTTTTTCTTTGAAATTAGCTTACAAGTATCACATCAGCATTTTGTGACTTGAGTTGTGGTAAAACATATAAAAGAGCACGAACTCCATCAGTTTTTTCGCAAACAAAAAAACTAGTAATTATTAATAACAAATAAAATATATAACCCGATTTACACATACTCTTTGTCCAATAATTCACGAGTTAAATGATGGCGGTTTAGCGAGACCGGTTGGGATCCAGGGAATCGATATCCTTTCAAGTTTAATAGTTCACATATTTTTGATTGATAATAATTCTTCTCTGTATCTGAAACTAACTCACCTGGAATAGAAATAGAATCATTTGATACATGTAAAAAAATACTGTTGTAATCCATATTAGGCTTAATATAAACTCAAAGATATAATGTATTTAAATAAAGATAAGTTAATAATTTTTTCTTAAGGAGAAATAGTGGACATAGGAGGCATGATCATCAATTACCGATAGTATTCATATATGAATCCTATATAGGATTTTTATATCTAATATTAAAGTTTTTTTTTAATTCTTTAAGCGAATGCGAAGTAGTTAAGTAAAATTGGTATTTAGATTTACAGTTAGTTAGCAAGTTTGGGTTCGCGAAACAATTTCAAGAGAGGGTAATTCACTTTTTTTTTGTGTAAGCATAAGGTATTTTTTATTTTTCTTTTGAAAGTCCACTGTACAACAATTTGCTTATTTCTGTCAGCTTCAACCAAATCACCATTATATCTTATTCTTTTCCATTGACGTCGACCCTGTCTTAAGTCATCAGGAGTACTAAAACATCAAAAAAAGGAAAAAAAGGTCTAATTTGATTTCATTTCACAATACAGATGAATCATGGCGTCAATTGAAGATGAGGACGCCTATCTGTATGACGAAGAGCCACAGAACAAAAAGCCACGGAAAGATGGTGATTTAGATGTTTGTAAGTTCATCTGACTTTTAAATCATTTTATTATTTATAAAGTTTTAACATTGACAGCGTCTTCAAAGAAAATTTTGGATACAAAAGCTTTGTCACCAGAAACTACAAATGTATCCCCAGCTCAAGATAATGATCAAGAAGATAGGGAAGAAGATTCTGAAGAAGATGATGACGATGATTCAGATATTGAATTTATCATTGATGCCATACCTGGTCAACGCGTTGAGCCTCCTCAAAAACATGGACCATACTCTCGGGTCACCACGTCAACTTCGGGCCCAGCACCTTCTACAGTTAGTTCTGCAGGGTCGGTATCAACCACTGCTACTGATGCTCTTGTGAAACAGGGAGGTGAGGCTGCGATAGATTCTTCTAATGTGGACTTATCTGCTCTTGAAAAACAGGGTGAGTCTATGGGAAGAAAAGGTATTGAACTAGACACTGTCGGTGAATGGAATGGTCAACCCATTACAGACGTTTCATTTGATAGTTTTGAGGATAAACCATGGAGAAAGCCAGGTGCAGATATTACTGATTATTTTAATTACGGTTTTGACGAACTTACTTGGGCTGCTTATTGCTCACGGCAAGATAACTTGAGAGATTTTAATCATCAAAAAATTTTACGAATTCTTGGTGTTAATAACCCTATTTCTATGCAAATGATGAGCTCTGGAATGATGCCTGGTTTTGCCCCTCCACCAAGTTTTCTTGGTGGTTTTCCTGATATGATGAATATGGGTATGTTTTCGCCAGGTATGCCAGGGTTCACTCCTCTTGGGTCAATGGGCACTAATAATACTGGAAATGAAGAGGGCGCTTACGGGGGGAACGTCCAAGGTGTGTCAGGAATGTCTTCTAATTCTCATTCCCAAGGCCATTATCGAAACCAAGGGGATGGATCTAATCAAAACTATCATAATAACCAATGGAAAAACAATCGATAATAGTAATATATATTTGTTATACTTTATTGAATAAAACACAAAATTATATTATAATCATCCTAATGAACTTCCTGCTTAATATAACTCACTTCAAGGCAAAAAGCACTTACAAAATATGATCTATATGAAATTTCGATACAAAACCTTTATTTATATTTATATGTAACTTTTAAGAAGTAGAAACTAGCCTTGTAAATCTTAAATGGTTTAAAGTCATTTAATTCATTTGTACTTTTAACTAAATATTATTTCGGTTATTAACTATGATAAAAAATTGACGGGTAAGAATTTTCATTTCTATGTTAAAATTTAAAAGGTATAAAAAAATATGTTCAGTAAAACTTTTATTAAAACAAATACAATTAATAGATACGATTTATGGATGTTTCATAATAAAAGATCGTATTGAAAATTTATTGTATATATATATATATACCCTTAAATAATAACAAATATATAAAATGTGTATCTTTCCTTGACACGTTATATGGTTTGTTAAACTAAATCCGTTACGTTAAATAATTTAATTTGACAGTGATACTTTATTAAAACTAATTAAATTTGTCATTTTTATTTTAAAATTTTATTGCATTATAAGCCCCCGCATTAAATTTAACCCTTACCCATAGTATATTATGCCTCGGCATTTAAATCCATTTTCATTACTCCTTATTCTTTCTATTCCTTAATTGTTCTTAAAAAAATAATTTTATATTTGAAAATTGTTTAAAACTTCAATCAAATTAAAAAAAAAAATGTCATATTACATGAGTCCTGAATCCGTTGCTATTCAGCTAGAAAATCTAGTTAGAATTTTACGAGATCCAAAGGAACATGGAATAGACGTTACCAAGTATGTAAAAGAAATATTGGTTGACTTGCTTCCAATCCTAACTTTGTTAGACTGATTCAAACTGTTATGTATTACATACCTACTATTAAAAATCCCTTAAATTTATCTATTATTACAAGGGAGTTAATTCATTCGCCCCATGTCTTTCCTTTTCCTGATTCCTCTTCATCAGACTCTGTTGACCTTTTTGTGGTCTCGTTTCTTGTTGAGGGTTTTGAAGCTGCCGCTACAAGAAAAGCATCAATTACTGACCCAACTGTTACTCCACAAGACTGGACTAACAATATATATAAGGCCGTAGGAAATCTAAAACCAGAACATCAATGGCGGGCTTTGCCTCCTCTTGCTGGCCTTATTAAAGCTATATATTACCAAAAGCTGCGATTAGAAACTCAGTCACAACAAAAAGGAAGAAATAGAAGGGATGTGGGCATTCTTGCTGATACATCTCTAGTACATGATATTCAAAAAAGCTTCATTTCAATTATCAACAAGACATTTGAAATATATGGAAATATTTTTGATTCTCAATTTTTTGAAAATGAGTTACAGATTCCCGTTGTTATCTATACACTATCTGTGACTCTTCAATTTCTCTCCAACTCATTGAAAAAAAAAATCAATTATACCTTAGTATTACCTTATTCGGTGTCTTTTGTGTATTTTTCGCAAAAGGGACTTTATGGAGGAAAGTTATTAAGAACACTTACGGATAAAAATAATCAAAGTATTGCTATATCACTTGATAGAAATCCGGTATTTACAAAACTAAGTTCACTATCTATTTTAATTCAAACAGCTGTTCAAGAAATAAATTCTGCTAACGCCTTTGTGGCTTGCAAAGCACTCGATGTTATATACCAATTTTCACATTCTTTGGCAGATGAATGGCAGAATTCAGTGTCTAAACAAGCTGACAACATTTTTCAAGCTGATTCTACTTCTTGGGAATTTTTAAAGGTTTGTTTATTTTCAGTATCTTTGGCTTTAGAGGGATATACAAAGTGGATATTGGCTTCTGTTAATAAAACGGAATATTATAAAAATTCAATCAATATATCATCTACCATTGTTCAGATTTTTTCTAATATGTACTTTATCGTTGCCCAAATAAGCCTCACTGGGTTTCCAACATTTGATTTTGTTTATTTTTCGGCAATCGACATTCTTCTTGACCCGCAGTTTCACTATCAAGAATTTTCTAATATTATATCACGAATTTCAGTTCCAATTTTATCAATGTCAAATCAACAAAGAAATAAAATGATTTCAAACAATCTTGTTTATCGAGGGAAAGTCATTTACTTATTAAATCTTTGTGAAGTATTAACGCCATTTTTACCTACAACAACTTTTCCAAATAAACAAGTTCCTTTAATAACATTAGCAGGTGATATAATTCCTTTGACAAAAAAGTTTTTATATCCTCCTCCAGTCTCACCAGACACTCCAAACTTAACCCTAACATATTTTCAACCTATCTTGGAATCTGCTCATTCTGTAATGTTAGCTGTCATTACTACTCCTTCTCAGGTTTATGAACGAATAAATGGAAACGAAATCACTGGAATCCTTCCCACATTTTTAAGTTTTTCTAAATACGAATCTGATGATGCCAACACCCTTACTTCTTTGCCCCAACTTGTGCAGAAAATCATTCCCGAATATTTTAAAACCGTGAATGATCTTTTTGTGGGTGTTCTTTCGTTTCATCAATTTACATTAGCTATTACAACTTTAGTTAAAGCAGTCTCACCCCCTTCACCAATTTTTTCATTGGATCCACAAAGAGCAGGGTGGATGATTGATTTTTTAATTGAGCGATCTGATGAAGTCGGAGCAGGTATTTCTCTTCCTACCGAATTAGGGGCATTAAGATTACATGAAACCGGTGATAAAGCCGATACAAATCAAAAATCAATTTCATCAGGACTGCAGGCACCTCCAACTATTCGTGCTGTGATTTTGGGCTCTGTCATTCATGCTTTACCTTACTTAGATGCTCAAGTTTTAGAGAAGTATTTGAGTTTAATATGGAAAAGAATAGACCAAACAACAAAATTCAGCAGCATATATTCTAGTTCTATTACTCAGGAGCAAAATTACTTGGAAATAGATATGTTTAACATGATTTCCAGAGAACTTGATCAGCAAAAGGCAACCGTCGGAATTAAATGGTGGTATCAAAAATCTATGTTATAAACTGGTACAATATGCTATTCTATATTAAAAGAAATTGTGAAAATGTACCTGTTATATAATAGCAGAATGATCATCTTGTTGTTGCTCTGGTGAAATTGTGCGAAAATATGGTAAAGTAGTGGCTGTATTAGATGCGAGCTGGCTTACTGATGAAAAAGATCGTGGATGGAGACGAGGAGTGGTGAAGTGTATTGTCTCTTGGTCCTGAACTGGAATAGTACTACCGTTTGTATGGGTACTACTACTTATACCATATGAAGTGCCTGTAGTAGATTCTTCACGGTCCTGGCTAAGGGAATTGGAATTCCCAGTATTGATTGACGATCCCTGATAATTAGAAGATCCTGTGAAAGGTTTCAAAACAGCATTTGAGGATTTATTTTTTTCCAGAGAAGAAGTAAGGTCTACTGGATCTGGCCAAATCTCTGGAAGAAAAATTTGTCTTTCATAAGGATATACTAAATTATTTCTAACAGCTTTTTTAAGTTGAGTTTCTACTAACTGTGCAATTTTAGGGATATCCTTAAGTTTTGAAACTGAGCCAATTGATGATCTTATATCAAATTCTATAGTCGGGTATTGATCAAAAGATATAGTAATATAAGGTCGATTTTTTTTTTTAAAATTAGGGGTTTCGTCATTACTATCTTGAGTAGCATCAAGTTCCGTTTTGGTTGCATCCGATTCAACAGGTTTATTTGAATCAGACGATAATTTGTGTAGATTATCACTTTCGTCTGTCTTAGTGGATGGTCCGGTATACTCTTGAGTTTTTTGTGAAAACTTAGAATTTTTTTGCTCGATATCTTCTGTATCAGATTCTTGGGAAAAGGTTTCTTGTTGATGTAATGCAATTTTCAGCGTTCCTGAAAAGTTTACTATAGAAACAATCAAAGAAACTGGTAAAATTGCAAAGGATGGTCTGGGAAAATTAATTACTAACTGAGTGTCAATTCCCAAAGTAATATGGTCCGAAAGATCTACATCAAGTAAAAGTTCTAAAAGCATATCGTTGTCTCTCAAATCGTTATTTATATTTCCAAATTTCCCTTTTCGGTTTTTTTTGGAATTTAAGTGATTGTAGCCATGATTAGATCCTGTTGGCAATTGTCCTGTTTCTGGCTTAGATGAACTTTGGTCGCAACTTCCCTTACCATTAATACTATATCCTCCATTTATATCCTTTTTTTTTTCATTAATTTGATTATTGTTTTCTTTAAATTCGTTATTTTCTTCGCGAGTAATGACTCGGCAATTACTAAATATTGGGAAATTATTGCCAATGTTGAGTTCTGTAACATCAATTTTTCCAACATAACTGGGAATTTTATCACTGTTCAATGCTTTTGATATTGCGTTTAAAAGATTGTCGTATTGCTTAGCATCATCTCGCAAATGAGCAACTGCTTGAGCGATTAAAACTGTAAACCATGCAAGTGACTCGGGAGGATGTGAATTAACGTTATAATATGTTTTTTCAAGAATTGTGCTTGATGTTGCTTCTTCATCTGGAAGAAGTTTTGCCTGTCGCAGTTGTCTAATATGCGATTGATAATCTCGCTTATCTTGTGGTGGGCCTGCAAAAATAAAAAATCGAATAAAAATGAGCATCACCAATAGTACCGAAGTAAACCCAGCTACAATTCCCGTAAAAAAATAAGAAAACCTAAATCTGTTAAGAAAAATAGAAGAATTTTTATGTGTATAATACCTACGGTAGTGGTGTTTGGGGTAACGAGGCAATTAGCAGCGTTTGGATTGGAAGTACTTCATCAATGGTATTATCTAATATCCCTAAATTACGACGTTTTAACGATTCGTTCGGAGGGTTTTCCTTATTATTAAGTGATTTAGAAAAACTAGATTCTTCTGGAGTGATATGTGTTAGTGTATACTCTTTTCCTTGTTGAAAATTTATTCCAGGAAGAATGACAATTGTTTCTGTAACCGTTAATGGCAGGTCATCGATAGTTGTCTCTTGTTTTAGTCCCATTTCAGTCTTGAAATATCAGTATCTAATAATTTAATTCAGTCACCAAATTTTTATAAAAATAATTAAGAAAATTCGCTAAATTGGCTAAATCCGCTAATTATCTAAATTCGATGTAAAAAAACTTATCATAAAATAAATATAGGGTGGTAAAGATATTTGAGTATAGAGCATATCTCGATTGAAGTCAAAATAAATTATTTAAAACTATCAAAAGTGAAAAAGCATGTAGCAGAATTTTTTGTCAAAGCCCCTGTACACTTATTTATATTAGTCATGCATCACGTGAAATGTTTTCAAATTAAGTTCCAGTCGAATAAACATTTAAAATATACCACAAAGTAAAACCAGAAATCCCTAAACACATTATCACAGCATGCCCATCCCAGACGTTTTCCGCTCTGAGAACCCTTTTCTACGTCTGCTCAAATGCGAAAGATACTAAGTTCGATTCCCAGAATACCCCCCCCTCTTTTTCTGAAGGATTGTACAGGAGTACACACCTCGACTGAAATCACAGGCTACCCTGGTTACAGGAGAGCCGACTCTTCCGTTCAATCAAATTAGCCTGCAGGTGACTGCGGGCCGTATCTCTGGCGAAGGAGATTAAGAAATACACAGGCGTCTGTAAAGATAAGTGGAAATGGGTTGGGAAGGTTTGGGACCGACAGACTGGCTCTCCATGTTCCTCGTAAACTAGCACCAGGGCCCATCTTCCGGGCTACCGGAGACCCACAGAACAGAAACCACCCGTACTAAAAAGGTACATGTGAAAAACAGCAAGTCACTTAGTCAGACAATAAAAGGATAGATCAGATGCTGATGTTATATAATTCTATAACCCTTGAATAAAAACAAACAAACAAACCCTTCTCACCTTTTCACGAATGACCCTTATAACATAATCTCACAGATCTTTCAGACTGCGACACTTGACAACCAAGATAGATTTTATTAAACGCCAAGTCGCTGCTGGGATTTTCTCCATGTTTAAGAATTTTTATTTTGGCCAAGTTTTAGCAGAGCAGGAATCAACTCCAAAAACAACACTAGCAGCAACGCGCCTTCACAGCTTGCATAAAAAATTATGGAAAATAAATATTAAATTATTTAAAATAATTTAAAATAATTTAATTTTTGTAATTTTTGTAATTTATTCTGTAGTGCAGTAGAAATAGGGCAGAAATTAATAGATTATGTAATTTCTTTTATTAAAAACAGAAATTTCTAACTTTCAGCATCACAGAAAAAATTCCCTATCATCTTTTAATTTGTTAAATTTTTCTTTTATGCTATATTTTAGTTTTAAACATCATGGGAATTGATCTGGGACTTCGGCGAGTTTCTCAACTTTTGGCGTTACTTGGAAATCCCCATAAATCATGGTATTCTATTCACGTTGCTGGTACAAATGGAAAAGGTTCAGTGTGTGCTTATCTTACATCAGTCTTCCAGTCAGCAAGCATACGAAGTGGCAGATTCACTAGTCCGCATTTGATAAATCGGTGGGATTCTATTACGATCGACGGACAATCTGTTTCAGAAAGTGAGTTTTTGAATGTGGAAGCCGCTGTCAGAATGACAGACAGTGCCAACAATATTGGCGCAACAGAGTTTGAGCTGTTAACAGCAGTAGCCTTTGAAATTTTTGCGAAACAACATGTTAGAATTGCAGTTGTAGAAGTCGGTTTAGGAGGAAGACTTGATGCAACTAATATTCTAGAGCCTTCTAATGAAGAATGTTCCCCTACAGTAGTTGCAGGGAAGCATCGTGGTCAGGACAAAGGTGTGCTTGCTACAGTTATTACAAAAATTGGACTTGATCATCAGTCTTTTCTTGGAAACACACTGAGTGAGATTGCATCAGAAAAGGCTGGTATTATCAAGCCAGGTGTTGCATGCATTGTAGATGCTACAAACGCAGATGATGTACTTTCTGTTGTATACCGGGTTGCACAAGAAAACAAATCTCAATTAATAAATGCATCATTTTTACACTCAAAAAATTGCCACTTTATTGATACCAAGCTTTGGGGTCCATTTAATACAAAGCTTACACCACTGCTAGGAAACTATCAAAAAGCTAATTTGGCGTGTGCACTGAAAACACTTGAAACTTTAATTGAGTGGTTTCCGCAAGAATTAAAAGATCAAAAAATAATTGAAGAAGGGATAAAAAATACAATATGGCCTGGGAGATTACAGTGGGTAAATTTAATGTTTCCTAATGTGGATTCACCTGTGAGTGTACTAATGGACGGTGCACATAATCCACAAGCTGCAGAAGAGTTGTCAAATTTTTTGGAAACCAACATTCGGCCTTTTCATAAAAGAATAAATTTTGTTATTGGTTTTACAAAAGGAAAAAACTGTAAAAATATCATAAAAAAGGTTATTAAAAAAGGAGATAGTGTGATTACAACAGATTTTGACTCGATTGATGGAATGCCATGGATTTCATCTTATAGTGCAGAAGATACTGCCAAAATGGTGTCTGATTCGGTAGATTCAGTGTTTGTAAGAGCTTTACCTAGTCATGGTGAAACTCAACTAGATGCTGTTACTGAAAGTTATATTTATGGATCAGCGGATGAAAAAGAACCATCCATTGTTGTTTTTGGTTCACTTTACTTAATTGGAAAAATTTTAATAAAACATAAAGAACAAAACTAAGATTTAATTTATTTGGTTATTAAATACGAGATCAGTCCCATGCTAATTCAGGCAACATTTCTCCTTAAAAAATAGTGGTTCGCTACGCTGACATCTAGACAGACATAGTTTTCTATTACTTTTTGGGGGTTCACCCTAAAAATGTACAGTACAAGTTATACCCCTGCTACTATTATTTGCAATTAAGTATTACTGCTATTCTCAATTAAATGATAGTGCTGTTGGCAATTATAAACATACAAAAAAAAAACATAAAGCTAAGATAAGATAAGGAGGAATCAAAGCCATCAAACTGATCAGGCTCAGGTTCGGGCTTAGGGCTGGGAGCAAGGGCTGCCGAATATGATGAGTCAAACCAACTTTACTGTTATTTTTTTTTTCAAAAAAAAATAGTGGCTCGCTACGCTCACATCTAGTCTCTGTTGTTGAATCGGTTAGAATGATGTTTGTATCGGTGTTGACTTTTTTTTCAAAAATTAGTGGCTCACTACGCTCACATCTAGATGATGATAGAGTAATTTATGAGAGCTAAAAAAGAACTATATGCTTTCAGGATATAATTTTTATGAGTTTTGGGGGGGGGTTTACCCTAAAAAATTTAGCATAAACCTCAAAGAAAGTGAAAAAAAAGGTAGAGAAGGATAATAATTAGTAATCTTGTAGTAACGGAGTGAAATTTTTTGTAGCAAAATGTAAAGGAGAAAATGTACAATTCGAAGAAAAGTGAAAACCACGAGAGGAAAAAGATTAGTCATCTTGAAGTCAGAAACTATTTTTTTGTAAAATGTAAAGTAAAGTGTATCTCAAAGAAAGAAAAAAAAAGAACCGTCATTGGTAAAAGAGATAACATAAACATATTAAGGCTGCTTAGAAGAAAACTAATTTTTTTTTGTGAAATGAAAAGGAGAAGAGATTAGGTTTCTATTAATTTGAAAATACTAAAAGGCGTATTTATTAAGTGCACATTGACAATTTCTAGATCATAGGCATTTAAGAGTTCTCTAGCCTTTTGGTTGGGTAAAATACTTGAAATAGGATAAAATTTTACCTTTTCAATTCCACGTTCACCTTCACTCTCTAACAGCTCTGGTGGTTTCATGACCACGTTTATTATTGGTGTATGTACTGCCCATATATTTTCCATAGCAGCTTTGGTTATTCCGAGAGACGATACAAATATTGCGACAGTATTTTGCGGATATTTAGTAACACTTACTGCTCCTATAAATGAGTTAATGTCAGCAGGACCAATCTTTGATGCCTTGCATTTACATTGACCAATTACATTGAGTTCTTTTAAAACAATTTTTTTGGGTCGGCCTCGTTTTTTTGTATTTGTTGGTAACTCAAGAACAGAAGAAAAACGAAATAGTCCACGAAAATCAAATCCTTTATCACCAGTTCCACCAGTTTTGAATACATGTGCAAAGGGATTTCTATTAAGAGTATCGATCACTGCATATTCATATAAATCACCAACATGTTTTGTTCTTGAAAGGTTGCATTGACGTGAAATAAGATTTTGAAGGTGCTGAGTATATCCTGGATAATTGTGGCGGTCAGCATCTAAATAAGTTGCCGGCGTTATTTTGTGAAAGTGTTTGGCGTGGGGAATTTGCCAATTAATCAGATTTCTAAAAGACTTCCTAAAGATCATTGGTGAGCTAAAAAAATTAGTGATCGTACAAAATAAACTCATTAGATCAAATGAAAATTGGAATAAATGTAAGGACAATAAAACAATGTTTAGGTTTTGATATTTTTTATTACTTAAATCCACACCTTAAGAAACATTCGACTTAAATATAAGCAATGTCTATCTCCTTGTTTCTACCTTAATCCAACATAAAATTTGACACTACCGATGTTTGGGTGCATGTTTCAATATATTTGAGGTCAACTAGGTTATCCAAATATATTAAATCACATCACACCCTTGAAAATAAATGGGAGGGAAAATATAAATGTTTCACGTGAAACATTAGTCAGAATAGTGTGTGTTATTAGTAATAATGTTAAATCTTATTTAATATACTTTCTACCTATTGAAAGTTGTTCATTATTGGCATTTAAAAGAAAATACGGTCATCACTTCCCTAGTCATTCAGATATTTCTCTTGCTTTGATAAAAAAAAAATTAAACACGTAATCACTGTTAAAATTTAATATGAGTAAAAATCCAAATTTCCCATAGTAAATTTAATGTTGCATAAAAAAAAGGATTTGACCCGCATACTTAATATTTTAAGCTCCTATTTGGGTCAAAAACTTTAAATTTCAGGAATATGATTGGTTTATTTACAAAAATTTCGACAAAAAGGGAAATATTTCTATCACGATGTTTTGATTTTAACAGTGATAATTGATTTTTTAAGTTACAATAACAATGTGGGAGAATTGGAGAATTAAAGTCTTCCGTATCAGCACAGAACAGTTTTTTAGTATACACTGTTAAAAGTTTCCATTACTAAATTTGTTAGTAATAAAAATAGCCCATGATGTATTCTCAGGGTATTTGTTAGATTGAGATGTTTCGTATTTATTGAATGACAGTAATAGTCTATACAGTGTGTTTAGATTCCCAGTTCCATTAGCTTAGCGCTTGCTATGTTACCTTTGGTCTTAAGATAAACCTTAGGTCTAAGTTACCTCTTAAGTAATACCTTGTTCTACAGTGCTATTTCTTAGTTTCATGTTAGGTTGCCTCCAAGCCCAACAAAAACCCAACCACTCAGGTCACGGGGCCCAAATGCATCACATGACATCAAAGAAAATCCAAATTTGAATTTCTCTTTTAAACGTAATTTTTAACTCCCATCTAATTTTTTTTAAATTTACTGGTGTTTCTGTGAATTAGATAATTGGAACTCATTTTAAAAACTTGAAACAAAAAAAAATGTGAATAAAGGTTTTCAATTCATATTTTCAAGTGCTAAATAAACCAAAAGACATATTAAGTTCATATAAAAAGTTTTTTAGAATTCCTCAAGTTTATAATAAACTATATATGTATTGATTAAATGGGATGGTGAAAATGGCCAGGTTTAAAAAATAAATGGGACTAGTAGAGCTTACATTAAGAAGATAGATGATTTAGTAAGTAATCGGAAAAGATCACGATTCATTCTAAAATGTAAAAATGGAGAATATGTCATATCATATATATCTTTCACATTACATTTATAATAAAGATAGTAAGTAACACCGGAATTAAAAAATATTCCAGAGTTAAACCTAGAAACTTCTCCCATATAGCTTTTGATGATTGGTGATTTCGATAAAGCTTTTCATTGATTATAACTATATAGACTAATTAAGGAGATATTGTCCAAACCATGGTAACTACGAAAATTATGAAGCATACTTAGTGTAGTGCAAACAATAAAAATTTGATCATAATTATGATGAATAATAAAAAGATTTTCAAGGGGTATAACTCCAATACTTTTATTAAGTTCGTAACCGCTAATTATCATTTAAATGCTAGTTGTGACGGTCTAAAATTCAGAGCGTTTCTTTTTATGTAATATGCGTATCCCGCACAAAACATCATGTGATTAATTTTAACAAAATTCTCCATATCATTAATTTTTAAGTGCAATTTAAAGTTGCACTTGTTTAACATGTCACAAAAACAATTTCATATTTTATTTCATCTGATCAAAAAACAACCAACATATACCCATTTTAAAACCCTTTTAGTTACAATGGATGCTTTAAAAAAATTGTCAAAATTTCAATAAGGAATTGAGGTGAAAAAACCTTTTTAAGTGCAATTTGAAGTTGCACTTGTTTAACATATCACAAAAACAATTTCATATTTTATTTCATCTGATCAAAAAACTAACAACATATACCCATTTTAAAACCCTTTTAGTTACAATGGATGCTTTAAAAAAATTGTCAAAATTTCAATAAGGAATTGAGGTGAAAAAACCTTTTTAAGTGCAATTTGAAGTTGCACTTGTTTAACATATCACAAAAACAATTTCATATTTTATTTCATCTGATCAAAAAACTAACAACATATACCCATTTTAAAACCCTTTTAGTTACAATGGATGCTTTAAAAAATTGTCAAAGTTTCAATAAGATATTGGTTTTTCTCAATTATAAATTGGGGGCAATTTCTTCGTTTTTTTGCTCTCGAAATTATTCCGTAATTAACAATATCTATCGACAATGCTCCCAAAAACTACGATATGTAGTCTAATTACCCAAAAAAGTATATCTTCTTGCTCAATTTCTTCACAAAGTGGGAAAGATGATAGTATTAAACACCACCATAATTCAAAATCTTCTGTTAAGCCACCAACTGTTAATTCAACTGTTAAACCACCGGCTTTAAACAGTAGCACATTTTCACCATTGTCTGCAACACACTCAACTTACATGAATTCATTCAAGGCTCCACTTTTCAAAACGCAGTCATCTTTCTCAAAAATTTCCTCTAACTCTGTCCCTCGTGTGCTACCAGCCATTGTCCCTGAGAGCATTCAATACTTGAACCGCGCTCAACAAGCGGCAATTCTTGCACCTTCAGAATTACCCCTCGAAATCAGCGGTGGCCCAGGAGTTGGAAAAACTAAGTCACTTGCTGAGCGTGCTGTTCAAAGCATTGTCAGTGGGATTTCTCCTAAAGATATCGTCGTTTTGTCTCATACGCCTCTGGAGGCAAACAGCCTAGCGCACCACATAGATCATGGCCTTTCTAAATTTAACGTCCAGTCTAATTTTTTTGGAAGCACTACGTTTCGTTTTTTTTGTGTCCGGATGCTACACTTATTTGGCTACAAGATTGGTTTATCTTCGAATTTTTTTGTATTATCGGAACAAGACAAACTTAATTTTGTCAATGAATCCCTTGCTGACTCTAGAGTCAAAACGTGTCTTAGAAATATGGGCTACTTCAAAAAGCCTGTTAAAAACAATATCAAAGACCTTCATCTGGATTTTGCTGGAAATTCCTACTTCAATAAGTTGTATAAAAATGGTGATGA